TTTGCAAGCAGGCCCAGTGCAGATTCGAGTCAGTTGGCATCTCTGCAAGATAATGGTAGAATAAGCATGTCAGCTCATTTTCTTCCTTTTCTTTTCTCTTTGTGTCTCATTTTATAAATTTTAGTATATATTTCTTTTAGTTATCTTGTTGACTAACTTATCTTTTGAAGAGAGGCAGCGGCGGCGGTATCAGACTTGGTGAGTTTGGCAGTCGGCTAGATGTCCAGTGCGAGACAGCAGCTGGGACCTGAGCTGGGACTTGTGGTGAGTTCCTGGTACCTACACCTGGACTGGAGGTGAGACTGAGGCCTGACGTGGGTGGCAACTGGATTGGTACTATGGCAGTCTGGATTGTGGCAGCAGCTGAAGGCCTGGAGTGGGACTTTCTGGGAAGAAACGTGGCGATGGATGTTCCCCTGACATTCGCAGTGGTGATGAGAGCAGGGGAGATTGAACTAGCATGGAGAACGCGTTCCAAAGTGGAGGAAATTGAGCACTTGTAGATAGTGCAGTCCCAGCATGCCTAAGCACTGAGGAAAGACTGTAGTAGTTGAACTTATACCTTTATTTCTTTATTTTTTGACATGGAACTAAAAAGGATAGTAATGATTAACTTTTAACTTTGTTCTTTATTTCTTTCTACCTTGCACTTAAGTTTTTGAACCTGGGTACATGTATCTAAGATGGCACCGTGTGAGGCAATATTGAAAACGTCTCACTGTACTCCTGTACTTTTATGCTTGAGTGCACGTAACAATACAATCTAAATCTAAATCTAAGTCTAAATTATATCACGTTCAGCATGCATTTGCCTACTCAATGAGTTTGTCCAAATTGCACTGAAACATTTCTGCTTCCTCCTCATAGTTTTGTGTCATCTGCAAACTTAGAGATATTACATTTAGTTCACTCCTCAAATCACAAATATATGTATTGTGAATAGCTAGATCTTAGCACTGATCCTTACATTACCCCATTAGTCACTTCCTGCCATTAAAAAAAGTTTCTTCCTGCAATTTGTTTTGTGCCCGCCAACTAGTTTTCTATCCATATCAACACGTTATCCCCAGTTCCATGCATTTTAATTTTACACACTGGTTGCTGATGTGGAACTTAGACTAAAGCCTTTTGAAAGTTCAAAGAAACCAAATCCACTGGCTCTGCATCATTAACTCTACTAATAACAGCCTCGAAGACTTCCAGCAGATTTGTATAGCATATTTCCCTTTTGTACCATGTTGACTCTATATGATCTTGCCACTCTACCAAAGTCAGTCTGAACAGTCTATAATTCTTGGTTTTCCCTCTGTCTTCCTCTTAAAGAGAGAAGTAACATTAGCTACCCTTTAATCTGTGGGAACTGCCCCTAACTATATGGAATCTTGGAAAAAGACCATTCAATATTTCTAGGGCCACTTCACTAATTACTCTGTGTTGCAGATTATCAGTGCCTGAGGATTTATTGGCCATCCCACCTTTTTCCCACTAACAGAGATTTCCTTCAGGTCCTCCATTTCACTTAACCCTGTGTTCTACAACATTTCTGGTATGTTATTATTGTTCATTTTTCTGAACACAAAACCATTTAATTAATTATCCATTTATTTGTTTCCAATGATAAATTTCTCTCTTTCTGACTGTAACATACTTGATTTGTATATTTGTACATTTGCATGTACTTCCTTTCTCCTCACATGCCTATGGAAACTTATTTAGTCAGTTTTTATGGTTCCCCATAAACTTACACTTGTACTCCATTTTCCATTTTTTAACCAATCCTCCTTTGTCCTCCTTTGCTGAATTCTCAACTGTTCCCACTCCTCAGGTCATGTCTTTTATATAGCCAATTGTACGTGTCATTCTTGTATCTAATATTATTTTGAATTTCCTTTGTAGGCCATGATTTCGCCATATTTTCCATTTTACTTTTGCACCAGATATGAATGAGCAATTGTTGCATTTCACTTATGTGCTCTTTGAATGGTTGCCATTGCTTTTCCACCATTATCCCTCGAAGTAACTTTTCCAATCTATGCTGGTCTATTCGTGCCTCATATAATCGTAGTTTCCTCTATTTAGAATCAGGACACTTATTTCACAATCAAAATATAGCCCTAATGATCCAGTTTCTCTGCATGCAGCAGACCTGCCATCCAAGGAATCAGCCAACTAAATCATCGTTGCACTCCCTCAGTAGCCAGAACAACCTTCTTCGATTAAAGAAACAGCGCCATAAATCATAGAATCCCTGCAGTTTGAAAGCAGACTATTCGGCCCATCAAGTCCACACTAACCCTCCGAGAAGTATCCCACGCAGACCCATCCCACTACCCTATCCCTGCAGTTCCCATAGCTAATCCATCTAGTCTTCATTATCCCTGGACACTATGGGCGACACATGGCCAATCCAATTAACCCGCACATTTTTGGAATGTGGGAGGAAACCCGGGCAGACACGGGGAGGATGTGCAAACTCCACACAGACAGTCTCCCGAGGCTGAAATCGAACTATGGTGCTATGAAGTAACAGCGCTAACCAGTGAGAAAGCGTGCCTCCAGTGGGTGCCTCCTCAGACAGACCCCGCCACTAATTCATCTGATTAAGTAACTCCGTCATGAATTTTGGAAGCAGGAAACAAAGTATGTGGCTCAAACCCGCCCGCGTTTGGCAATGGCATCATCGAAATGTCACTGGACCATTCGTCCTGAGTTCCCAGATAATGTTCTGGGGAGCGTGGGTTCGAATTTGAACGTAATACAAATCTCAAATAAAAAAAAAGTCTCGTGTTATAGTGACTGAATCGACGTGAGTATTCTTCGACTGCAAGAAAACTACATCCACATTGGTTATCCATGAATCTCTCAGCCTTGCAGGCGCACTGCAGCAAGGTCAACTGTGGCTCAAGTTACAGAACCAAGAGCTTGCGCTGTTTCAACTGAAGACGTTGTCTGCTCTTGTCATTATCCAGTGCACCATAAGAACTCTGGAGTTGTGAAGGATTAATTTGTATGGGGTTGGTAACGAGCAACCTGGTTTACTATTAAAAATCAACGGACTGAATAGAAACAAACCTGAGGGTAAGTGAAAAAAAACCCCGGCAATTTGGCGAGGTCGCGTCGACTCAAGTACTCATCATAGCTTGCAACTTTTAATTTACCTTTGCTTTCATCCCATTAAATCATGAAATATTTGCAAGTATTTAAGAAAAAGAGGAATTCAACATCTCAATCAAGTATCATAAATTCTTCTCCCAACATCTTAATTTTGAAAGGAATTATTGGGAAACTAAGTGTTGCGCTTCTCATGCCTTTATATGTCTGCCTTGGGACATTGAAGACAATTGTTTATGAACTCGATCAGCTCATAGGTTCCACGTTTGTTGCCGGAACATAAATTCCAGAATTGAGGGTCAGGCCCAGGATTTGAGTCCCAGGACTAGTTTCACACATCTGTGAAGAAAGTAGAAAATGTGTTACCCTGTGTTTGTTTCAGATTTCCAGCATCTGCAAAATTTTGCTTTTATCACCATGTCGGAAGTGGTCTAGTAATGATTGTGGGAGCAATGGGATATGATTTATACCGTGTTCATATCTGATTGTTTAGAAGTCAAATCTCCCGTGGAATATCATAGATTTATCCATTGTTCTGGCCGACATTTTTATACATCAACCAAAACTCAAAGCAGAGTTTAGGTTGATCTCCTTTATTGTTATTTGAAAGATCATACTGTGTAAAATCGAACCGCCTGCTTTATCAGCAACGCAACAATAACTCAAATGAAAGGTGTTTAAATGAGCAGAAACCACTTTGGGGAATCTTGACACCGTAAACGGCATTAGGAAAGTACAAGTAAACGGTTGTCTCTTGGTGAATGGCAAAATACGATGACTCGACAGGATGGGTAAAGCCAAAAATGTGCCCATCCTCTATGGTTCAACTCAGTCGAAAAACATCACAAGGTTATCAACCAAAGATAGAATACTTTTTTTGACCGTGTTGTATTTCCATTTCCATAAAATCTTTAAAGTTTACTTTTTGTTTAATTACCATGCCTCAGGCGAGAAGAGAGATTGCGAAGGACAATTCTTCATGATAACTTCAGTCAGTGCAGGAAAGAACCAACTCTGAACGGTAAACCAGCCGTCTAATCAACTGAGTTAACGAATACCCAACGAAAACATTGACACAACTGATGCAAACTGATATTTTCCCTATTCAAATTTGTTTTGCCCGAACATATCGTTAATTGAATATAGCCCTCTGATCTATTAGAAACAAATTCATTCAAGGAATGAATTATGAAGAAAATAATCAATTCTTAAACATTTAGAGTTCAGTTTTTATTATCGTTTTGGCAAACAAGCGAGTCAGACGTAGGTATATTTGGGAGTAAAAATCGATGCAATACTTTACACATACAAGTGAAATGCGTCAGAGTTCAGTACTGAGGACGGTACTGCATTTATCAATTCACCTATTGTGCCATTAACAGATAGGTCATTCCACTCTTTGTTTTACTGTTCGTGAAACAACATCAGGACAATCATTTTCATTGAAATCACTATCTAAGGACAACTAATAAAATCTCGCCAAATGTCAACATTCGAAGCACAGTAGCTAGCATTAGAAAACTTCCATGTGTATATGATAACAAAATTTGGAAGCAAAAGCTCAAAGTACGACAACTACAACATGCAATATTCTACCACAATGAAATCAAACCCAACTATATCTTTTTAACATCAATTCTGCGACTGGCTCCAAAACATGTTCTAATTTATCACTCCCCGCACAGTAAATTATTGTCCCATTTTATTTCATCGAAATTTTGACTGCAACCTTTCCTTCGTTAACGATTTCTAAATAAGAAACATTCCATTTTTGATTTCCAATATCACCATTTGGTTAAAATGAACGGAAAGTCGTAATTAATGATGACCATAGAGTTTACATGAAACGCGTACGAAGAAGGTGAAGAGCTGGTAGTTCTTCGTACTCCGTCTCAAATGATTAAATATCATCATGTTGTCTTCCAAATTCTGTATCAAAAAAAGTAAGTGAATCTAAAAAAAAAGTCAGTTATATTCAGGTTATTATCGTCAAGATAGCCACGAAATAATGCGCGCATTTTTAGCGTGTTTATAAATCATTCGCATTATGAATTGGTTTACTATCAAACCATGCTATCTTTCCCTTTGGCTATTTAACCATTGCTCTCTCGACAAATGACTTAAATTATTTTATTCGAGTGATCTAATTCCTACTTGTTTTCGCCTTTACTGAAACAGGTTAAATAGGCCAGAATAATCGCCTTTTCTAAACAAACATGAGTTTGACTTATTGGAAAATGCAACGAGGGAGTAGTATTGAAGCCAAGTTACCAACTCTGTGACATCTATCATTTATGTTTTTAATGGTTACAATGTGTATCTTGTACTGGTGCACGATTTATGCTTGGGGGAGATCTTTATGCAACTCTCGTCACTTCTAGCCGCAGAATGCAAGGGCATCCGAAGTTTATCGGCTAATATCGACACAATGATGTACTTCACTCAGCGATAGTAAGAACTACAGATGCTGGAGTCAGAGATAATAGTGTGGAGCTGGAGGAACACAGCAGGCCAGACAGCGTCAGGGGAGCAGGAAAGTTAACGTTTCGGCTAGGGACCCTTATTCAGAAATGGAAGGGGGAAGGGAGCTCAGAAATAAATAGAGGAGGGGTGGGGCTGGGGAAGGTAGGTGAGATAGTGATAGGTGAGTGGTGGTGGGGATTGGTCAGTGAGGTGGCAGGTGCGGATAAGTTGGAGAGAAGATGGATAGGTTGTGTCAAGTCAAGGAGGCGGGGATGAGAGGGAGGTTTGGTCATGGAATGAGGCCTTGGATGGGGATGTTTCGAAACTGTTAAAATCCACATTTAGGCCTTTGAGCTGTAGGCTCCCGAGGTGGATTATGATGTGCTGCTCTTCCAGTTTGTGGGTGGCATCATTATGTCACTGGAGGAGGCCCAGAGTGGACATGTCACTCAGGAAGTGGGAGGGGGAGTTGAAATGGTCCGCGACCGGAAGCGGTTGTTGTTTGTCGTGAACAGGGCGCCGGTTCTCTACAAAATGAGCGTTCCAGCCTCTGCTTGTTCTCACTGATGTAGAAGAGGCCACATCAGGAGCAGCGGATGCAATAGACCACATTGATGGATGTGTAAGTGAGCCTCTGTCTAATGTGGAAGATTTGTTTTGTGCCTTGAATGGTGGTGGGGGGAGTGTAGGGGCAGGTGTAGCACTTCCTGCGGTTGCAGGGAAGGGTGCCAGGGGTGGTGGGGCTAGTGGAGAGTGTGGAACGGAAGACGGAGTCACGGAGAGAGAGGTCCGTGTGAAAGGCAGATAGGGGTGGGGAGGGAAAATATGTCTTTGGTTGTGGGGTCAGATCGTACGTGGTGGAAGTGGCAGAGAATGACACTTTGGATACGGAGGTTAGTGGAATGATATGTGAGGGCAAGGGGGATTCTGTCTTTGTTTTTGTTGGGGGGCGGGATTGTGAGGGCAGAGGTGCAGGAAACACAAGAGATGCGGTTGAGAGCATTTTCAACCACCGAACGGGAGGGAGGTTACGGTCCCTGAAATAAGAGGACATCTGGGATGATTAGGAGTGGAATGCGCCATCTTGGGAGCAGACGCAGCGGAGGTGGAGGAATTGGGAGTAAGGGATCGCATTCTTGCAGGAAGGTGGGTGAGTGGAGGTGTAGTTTAGATAGCTCTGGGAGTTGGTGGGCTTGAAATGGATGTCGGCTTCGAGGTAGTCACCAGAGGTAGAGATAGAGAGGTTGAGGAAGGATAAGGAGGTATCGGAGATGGTCCAGGTGAACTTGAGGTTGGGGTGCAAGGTGATGGTAAAGTTGATTAACTTTTCAAGCTCCTTGTGGGGCAGCGCTGATACAGTCGTCGATTTTGCAGAGCAAGAGCTGAGAGGGCAGTGCCAGTGTAGCAGCAGAAGAGGGACTGTTCCACTTATCCTAGGAAGAGGCAGGCGTAGCTGTGGCTCATAGGGTTCCCATGGCCACCCCCTCAGTCTGTAGGAAGTGGGCGGAGTTAATGGATAAGTTGTTAAGTGTAAGGACGAGTTTGGTTAAGGGGATGAGGGTGTCAGTGGAGGGGGACTGGTTGGGCCTGCAGGAGCGGAAGAAGCAGAGGGCTTTTAGTCACGAGCTATTTCAACTCCCCATCCCACTCCCTGGTTGATACGTCCATCCTGAGTCCCCTCCAGCGTCACAGGGACGTCACCCGCAAACTGGAGGTGCAGCACCTCCTATTCCGCCTCGGGAGTCTACAGTCCAATGGCCTAAATATGGATTTTACCAGTTTCAAAATCTCCCCACCTCCGGCCTTATCCCATGACCAACCCTCCCTCTCAACCCCACCTCCTTGACCTGACACGACCTGTCCATCTTCTCTCCCACCTATCCGCCCCTCCCACCTCATTGACCAATCCCCACCACTCTCTTCCGGCACTCACCTATCACCATCCCACCTACCTCACCCAGCCCGACTCCTCCTCTTCCCTCTATTTATTTCTGAGATCCCTTTGCCTCCCCATTTCTGAAGAAGGGTCGCGACCCGAAAGATCAACTTTCCTGCACCTCTGATGCTGCCTAGCCTGCTGTGTTCCTCCAACTCCACGCTGTTTTAACAATGATATAGTTGTACTTTCTTCACTTCTTTGAAAACTTACCCACTGGAATAAATAATCAGTTATTTACCGGTGAACCTACATGTTTTTTCATCACCGTACATAAAGGTATCTAAATAAAATCCTTCTAGTTACTGATTAGGAACACAAGTAAATAATGAAATATCTTTTGAATGCTGCTGCGTACTTGAGTTTAAAGGGGCAATGACAATTAACCTTGATATTTTGGATTGTGATTGTATTAATTAACTGATTTTACACTAAAGTCACCCTATTGCTAGATTGCTGTGCGTTTATAAACTATCTTAACCTTCCTATGAAAATGTGAGTTTGTTAGTTTCGCTTTTCATTGGGAAATTGACAAGCAAGGCGTGTGACAAGACGTCACATTAGCTTACCTTCCATGTTTGTATTTTCATATTCGTGTAACTCGCTCTCTGTATAATATTCCAACTTGTTTAGTGAACTGGTAGAGTGCAGATCTTTAAAAGAAATACACTGCAATCTTAAAATACAAATTTCATTTAAATTGAAAGATACCATAGGCGTAAAACTTAAAGATAATTACCTGCGCCTGTTCCAAGCTCCTGAACCTCAATCTCTTCGTAAACAGGATCAGGAAATCCAGTGGTGCAATGTTGAATGTTCCTGTTGGCTGTAGAACAAAGAACACTGCATCATAGATGGCGAAGCATCAAGAATTATAATCCCTTATAACAACATGCGTCTTTCAATCTCTCGTTACTCGACCTGGCTGCTAACGGTCAACCGATTTCTCAAATATCCTCTTATTTTACAATTTCCTGCTCCCGACGACCGTTGTTCCTTGGTTTGCTGAGTAGGTTGACTGGGATAGCCTGAGAGCGGTGCAGCGGAAGCATGGGGTCGTGGGATGATCGTGTTCCTCGATCTATTGTTCGGATAACAGAGCCTAGTTATTCTGTCGCTGCTCCAGCTTAAATGACTGATTTGAAGATGCCAACGTAAGAATTACGATCACCATTCCTATTTCTATATACTTTGAACCTCTACGTTGGTCTCAGTACTTTTCAGTGTTAGTAGTTTGTAACTCTAGTAAATAGTATGCTATTTTTATTAGCGTTTTGGAGCTGCTTTGCGGTTGTGTACTCAGGTGTTGATGGTATTGCGTTCCCACGACGAGGGGTTAGTTAAAAGGTGAGTGGAGAGTGGTAGACCACAGTGACTGAAGAAGTACATGATTGGCAATCCAGTGATTGGTACTTAGCTGGATAAGGCTTAAATAAATATAATTTTCTGCTTCAAACGTGTGAAAGAATCCAATGTTCCCCACGTGGACTTGACAAGATAAAAACTGGGAATATTTACACGTAATAACACCCTGGCTAATAAGCAGGAACGTTGTTTGTTTCCAGCAGAAGGGCATACGTGAATACATGTTAGAAAAATAAAACTGATTCGCGGCAAAGACAAGTACAGTATAAAAACAGAGAAAGGAGTAGGAGTTGTAGATGATTTGGCCCTTTCAGCCTGCTTCAACATTCAATTGTGATGTTCGATCTCAATATGATATTTTTGCTTTCTAACCACCACCTCCCACCCTTTGATTCCTTTAAAATCTAGAAATTTAGTTGTCTACTTCTTGATTACACTCAGTAACTTGGCCTCTATTGCCTTCTGTGGTACAGATTTCGATAGGTTCGCTATCCTTTAAGTGAAAAAAATATTTCCTCATCTCCGTCAAAAATTGTGTAGCCAATGATTTACACTGATTTAAACCCCCGAATCAAGGAAAACATCTTCCTTGCACGTTCAGCTTGTTAGAATTGTATACCCTTCAAAAGGTGCCCTCTCATCCCTCTAAATTTGAGTGAATACAGGCCAGTCAAACCCATCTCTTCTCGTAGGAGAGTCCTGCCATCCCCGAGAGTCCTGCCATCCCCAGTATCAGCCCAGTGAACTTCCACTGAACTCCGTTGTTGTCTTTCTTTTAGGTAGGAAGGCCAAAACTGCAGTACTGCGATACCCCAATTGTCGTGTCAGGGAGGATCCATGCAACTACAGCAAGTTATCTCTTCTTCTGAACTCAAATCATCTTAAAATGAAGGCCAGTATACCACATGCCTTACTAATTGCTTCCTGAACATGCCTGCATACTTTCATTGACCTGTATACGTATCTCTTTGTTTATCCATATTTTCGAATATATCCCCATTTAGTTAACACTGTTCCTCTTTTTTTTTCACAGTGAAGTGTATAAACTCAGAATTAGCCACATTGTACTGCATCTGCCATGTGCTCACCCACTGATTTAACTCATCCAACTCGTCTTGAAATCTTATTGCATTCTCCTCACAACTCAAAATCTTGCCCAGTTTTGTATCATCTACAAACTTGGAAATGTTACGTTCGGTTCCCTGATCCAGAAAATTTTATATATTGTGAATACTTGGGGGTCATCAATAAACCCTGCAATATGGCACATGTCACCGTATGCCACTCAGAGAAAAGACAGATTTCTCCGTACTCTCTGTTTCCTGCCTGTGAATCAGGTCTCGATCCATAATAATATATTGCCCCATCTCATGTGCTTTAGTTTACCGACCATTCCCTGTTAAAATCCTTCAGAAAATCCAAAAGTAAGACATCTCATGGATCTCCCTTGTTTATTCTATCAGATGTAAATTGGATGATTTTTACATACTCAAAATAAAGCTCCAGTAGATATATTCAGCATGAATTGGCTTTCATCAACTCATGGTGCTTTGCCAAAACTCATTAATGATTTTCAGATGTTGTTATCATTTTTTAAAAAAAATAATAAACTCCAGGATTCTTCCCACTACTTACATTAGGCTAACTTGTGTGTATCTCTCTCCATCCTTTTTTAAATAGTGTGATGAAATTTGCCACCGTCCAGTCTGTAGAACTGCACTAGAGTCTATGGAATTTTGGAAGATGATCTCCATTGCAACCAATGTTTGCAATGTATTCTTGGATGCAGATAATCAGGCTCTGGTGATTTGTTATTCACTAACTCCATTAATTTTCTTAGCACTATTTTCTTACAAATACCAATTTCTTTCAATTCCACCCTCACAAGACCTTGGTTCCCTGATGTCTCTGGTAGGTTATTTGCACCCTCTTTTATAGAGACAGAATCAAAGCATGTATCCTAATCTCCTGCCATGTCTTTGTTCTCCATTATAATTTCCCCTGCTTCAGACAGTATAGGAATTACATTTACTTTACTAATTCCATTTTTTCCCCCTCTTCTCATATCTATAGAAGCTTTTGTAGGCAATTTCTATTTACCTAGCAATTTTACTCACATACCCTTTTTCTTTTCCCTCTTAGTCAACCTGTTTGTCCGTATTTCCTGAAATCTAAATCGTTCTGTATACTTAGATGTACTTTGATTTTCCTGGCAATTTTATGTGTCGGGCTGGTAGCTAACCTAGATTAAAGAATATTGGATAAATTGCTGTGCTACTACTGCCTGCTGTCCAGAATAGATTGTGGACATTGGCATGAGTGAAATAGGTTACACTATTAACATGAGGAACTTAAAAATGTCAGCACATAGATATAGCCAATTCTCTATCTATGCAAGTATGTTACCTCCAATGCTGTTGGCTCTTATCTTATGATTTAACCTTTTGTGAGGTATCTTCTTGAACATCCAAATACAAGATACTCTATCCAATCTGGTTAAGATTTCCTCAATAAACTCTAATAAGTTAGTCAGATATAATTTCCTTTTCATGAAGACACACTGTGAGATTAGATTATGATTTTCCAAATGATCTACGATTGTTTGTTTAATAATTGATTCCAATGCTTTTCTTGCAGTAGATATTGATCCAATTGGCAACAGTTAACATTCTTTTGCCTCTCACTCAATTTAAATATGGTTGTCACATTAGTAGTATTCCAGTCCTCTGGTACTTCTCCAGAATCCAAAGATTTTTGAAAAACTACATCTAATGCATCTATTATCTCTAGAGCTACCTTTTTTAGGATGCTAGAATGCAAGCCATCAGTACCAGGGGGATGTATTTACCATTAGCCCCATTAGTTTAGCCAAAACTAATTCTTTAGTGCTGGTGAACTCCTTCCACAAACTCACTGATGCAAAAGACTGATGATCATTGGATATGAAACATTAAGTCTACTTTCTGTCCACAGATTTTGGCAGACCTGCTGAGGTTTCCTAGAAATTTATGGCTTTATTTTGATTTCCATCATCTACAGTTATTTGGGGTTTTTTTTGATGGAAAGTATCTGTTTAATTCCACTAACATTTTCTTGGTCCACAAAAATGATCCCAGAATCATTTTCAAAGGGGCCTATGTACACTTTGAGCTCTCTCTTCCTTGTTATATATTTTAAAATGATTTTATTGTCAGTTTTTATAATCCTTGCTAGAAATCTGAAGAAGGGTCCCGACCCAATACGTCAATGTTCCTGCACCTCTGATGCTTCCTGGCCTGCTGTGTTCCTCCAGCTCCACACTGTGTTTTCTCTAGTTTGTACTCATAGTTTATTTTCTCTGCTTTTGTTATCTTTTTAGTTCTCCTCTGCTGGATATTGAATTTATTCCAATTTTCTATTCAATCACTTTGGCTTCATTATACGCTTTTTCTTTCAATGTAATATTCTCCTTAACTTCCTTCATTAGCCACAGTTAATTTATCCCTCTCTCAGAATCTTTCTTCCTTACTGGGATGCAGTTTTGCTGAGCATCATGAATTACGTCTGTATAGGCGTACCACTGTTTGCTCACTGTCATTCCTACCAATCTATACAATCTATACGCTCTAACTAACTCCATCATCATTTCATTGAAATTCCCTTCATTTAAGATAATCACAGTTGTTTTTGACCTGAGTTTCTCACTCTTCAACTGAACATTAAATTATATCATGTTGTTATCACTAGATCCTAGGGGATCTTTTAATTGAGATCATTTTTTAAACCTGCTGCATTTCCTGTTACCAGATCCAAGATAGACTGCTCCCTGGTTGCTCTAGGAAACAATCCCTAATGCACTCTATGAGTTAATTATCATAGCTACCCTTTGCATTTGGATTAACTCAATCAACATGTAGATTAAAAATCCCCACAATTATTGCTCTATTCTTTTCAGCATTCACCTATTGTTTGTTAATTTATAGCCTTTCCCAAAGAGTGGCATTGGGCGTCTATATACTATCCGTAGGAATGTCTTCTTCCCTTGCAGCTTTTTTTTCACATCCACACAAATGACTTTACATCATCCAAGCCTTGATCATCTCTCACGACTGTTCATATTTCATTTCTTATTAGCAGTGCTGCCCCACTACCTATTCCTCCTTCTTGTCTCTCCAAAAAGATCAAATATTACTGAAAATTACTTTCCTAATATTGATATCCTTGTCGCCATATTTCTGTAATGGATACGAGATGACATTCATTTAGCGCAAATTGCCCCATCACGTCATCTGCCCTGTTCCAAATGCTTCATGCATTAATATACAAAGTCTTACATTTGTTCTGTTATCGAGGTTCCTTGGTACTAAATGTGATTCACACGTTTGCTCCCATCCTTTTATTTCCTGGTAACAATCAACACTATATCTAACCTACAATTTGACCTCCTACTTTACGTTTGATTTTCTAATTTCCATGTAACTGAACCTTTCCCTACCTCACCCCACTAAGGTAACTATCCATAGACCAAATCATCTTATCGCATGTAAAATCTCCAACTACACATCCTATCTGACCCAAATAGTTTGCAAGTCAAACTTCAATTACTGTTTGTTCAAATGATTGTTATTATGATGTTTGCGATTGGTGTCAGGTTACTTGCATATCCAAACTGCACCCACTTTTTCAAACATTTCAAACCAGTTCTTTTTCATTTCAGTCCACAATTGACCAATAACTCACAGAAGTAAAAAGATACAGCCCTTGCAATATAGATTTAAATATTTAAAAAGCTTGATTGATCCACAGACTTGTTCTGCATCGCTTTGTGCCCAGGTTCAAGATCAAAACCCATGATAGTATATCCAAACAAGGAAGGCCCTCTACATCAATGAATGAATGTGTATTGCAATGGTGTATTTCACCTCTGCATAACTGTGACTGCATCCCTACCATAAGATCAGAGGGACCTGGTAGGTTGACCACTACTAAGTGCTAAATGTGCAATAATCTTTTCAATCCAGTGCATTTGATCCATGACCAAACTTTGAGACATTCAGGGTGGACACACCTTGTTAAGAAAAATTAACCAAGACCACTTGCTAGATCCAGTGTCTGTTCATTTACAAAGCCCTCTGGCAATGTCAATATATGGACTAATGAGGGGGACATACCTTTAATAATTATTAGTCCTTTTCCATGTCAGGCACTTCTGAAAATTTCTCGTGTGAAAAAGAAATGTTGGCCCCTTAATATTGCACAGGATTAGGGCTCACTTAAAAATTCCAGTACCATTGTTTACCTTAGGCAGATAATGCATTGATGAATCTTTAGAATTATCAACCTCACAGGGCCATGGAAGTTGAAACTTTAGAATATCTAAAATAGCGACTGGTATTAAAAATATGTAAAGGTTGTAAAAGTGCAGCAGAATAGTGTGGGTAATGGGCATAGAAGTATTATCAGTGATGTTCATCGTGAAATGCAAGGCAGACTCAAAAACAGACAGTGCTGGCAAATTTGAGCAGGCCTGGCAGCATCTGTGGACAGAAATCAGAGTTAAAGTTTTGGGTCAAGTGATCCTTCCTGAGAACATCACAGAGCAGGCTTGATGGGCTGAATGGCCTACTCCTGCTCCTATGTTATTATAATTGTCTCACAGTGTTTCAGTGAAAAATTATTTACCCTCAGTTATATTTTCTTGCATATCTTGGGTTTGAGGGAATGCTCCAGCTAGCCTCAAAAAAGAAGACATGAAGTAATAATGAGGAAATGATCAAACCAGTGAAGTCACAGAAACTTAAGGTAATAATTCAGTTCATAGTGTTTGTACCAACTGGAAAGCAGCTACACAACATAATTTTTCTTTTAGAAATCAACAGAATGCGAGTTTCACTGATTGGCTGAGCATGTATTGCCCATTGCTAACAGGGCAGTGGCAACTATGTTGCTGTGAGTCTGAAGTCAAATGTAGGCCAGACGGGGTAATGGCAGATTTCCTTCCCAAAAGGATATTAGTGAAACAGACTTTTTTAAAAATAAAGCCACTGATGGCGACCAATTTTAAACTCCCGATTTTTAGTTGAAGTCAAATTTCGCCATCTTCACCATAGTAGGATTTGAACCAATGGCCGCAGTACATTAACCTAGGTCACTAACCAGTTCCATTACCACTACTGCGCCATTGCAGCCCATTCTCTAATATGGGTCTATCTTGTGCGGGCTGAGACCTTAGGTACTCAGCTAACTACATTTTAAATGTTCCCACCATCTTTTCAGACCTTCAATCCTATCTAGGCGGAAGCAAACTGCCCTAAGCCTTCTACCTATTACTTTAAATCTTTGGATCTTGTCCTCCAGGCTGAGCAACATCTGTCCGCACTATCTGGCCTGTCTAAACTCTTCATTCAGTAGAACGTACGCCTCAACTGTCTGTCCTATATGCCTCCTGTGTACGAAAGAAAACAACTCCACCCAACAACGTGTTCTCGTTTCAGAAATTCCCCAGTCCGTGTAACATCCTTGTAATTTACATTGACAATTTCTCTTTTGTAATGACGATGTTCCTACAAAGCACTGACCAGAAATTACACTTGCCACTTACAAGTTTGGGAGGTTGTTTAAATTTGACCGACCTTTCTGGAAGCTTCTCTGCAGTTCAGCAGCCAAAGCAAGTGAAACAGCAATCAATAGGACAACAAATACGCAAGGGATGATGAAGATCGAGGGTCTCTGCTGGTTGAAAGGCGCTGTGTGTTTCTGATGGCCTGTAATCAAAAGCATGTAATAATGACAGGGAAAATTTGTCCTGCGCATTTATACAGTCGTAGAGTTTACAGCACGGAAACAGAACGTTCGGTCCAACTAGCCCATGCCGATCAGATGCCCTAGGCTGTTTTAGTCCAATTTGCCAACATTTGGCCCTTATCTCTCCAAAACCTTCTTATTCATGTACCAATCCAGGTGCCTTTTAAGTGTTTTTATTGTGCCACCCACCAACCATCAACCTCCACCCCCACCCCCATTCCACCATTTCCTCTGGCAGCTCGTTCATGCACGCTCCACCCATTGCATGAAAAGTTGCTCCTCAAGTGCTTTTCCAATTTTTCCCTTCTCAACTGAAACCTGCGCTCTCTAACTTTGGGCTCCCCCTACACTGGATAAAAGACCTTGGCTACTCCCTCTATCCCTGCCTCTTGTGATTTTGTAAACCTCTATGAGGTCACCTCACAGCCTCCGACACTCGAGGGAAAAAAGCCCCAGCCTATTCAGTCCCTCCCCATAGCTTTAAAACCTCCATCTAGGCAACATCCTAGCAAGTATTTTCTGCTTTAACTATGCAGCAGAGCGCAAGGTTGTTGTATTTATTATAATTATTGCTCAAGGCAAAAATGTGATTGAAATTCATTCGAGAAATGCAAATGAATTCCACTTTCGAACGTTTGGACAGCCTTCGATCTCCGTTCAGTATTAACTATTGATTGCACTGACGCTAGAAATGGTTCCATTGAGTTCAGGCTCCGGAAAATTATGTAAAACTTCATTTTATAATATGGAGCAAGCTACCATTATTTAAGTTTAATGGCAGTGCCAAGAAAGTTGGGAAAACAGATCCTGTAGTTACGAGCAGAACTTGCAGATTTCCAGATTAAGCGATTTATAGCATCAAGGTGACAAATGAAGCTCAACGCGGAGAAACATGAGGTGATACACTGTGGACCCAAGATTGATATATCAGATTATTTGTTAAATGATGAAAAGGAACGCACTTTGACTGGAATGGATAAGTACAAGTTCAAGCACATGTATTATTGAAATCTTGTGAACAGTGCAAAAATGTGATGAGGTGGCCCATGCACGCAGAATAGAGTGGACTGTTTATTTTCTGTCGATTGTAGCATTTGGGACTGTCTTGAGGGTGAAGTACGTAAACTCCCGAGCTTTCACATGAGCAGATATGGCTTCTCTATCGACGGTGAAATCATCTACAGGAATCTCCCTTCGGACAATTCCGCCATTAAGTGTAAACGTAGCTCAGTCGATTGGCGCGGTTACAAAAATAAACCATACGCGCTTTGTACCAACAAGCATCTGGAGAACAACATAAAATGTCTTTGTGCTGTTATAAGGCAGTGAGGTATTTTTAATTATTCCTCCCCAAACTAGCACATTTCCTAATGTTGTCCCTTGAGTGTATTATCCACATACTGATTGTAAACTCACATTTGTATTGTGTCCACAATAGATTTTGAACGCGCCAAGCCCCCTCGCCAGAACATTATGAGGGATAAATTGACGCAGATCCACATCTGAAGATATTAAGCGATGTGACCAAAAGCTTCGTCAATGAAGTCCGTTTTAAGGAAAATGTTATGCAGTAGAGTAAGGCAAAGTGGTGAAGTGTGTTTGGGTGTGGAATCTTCGTGTTTCGAATCTGGGTAGAAGAGATCACGGCAGCGGTGAAAAGATGCAATGATGAGCAGAAGGCAAGAATTGGTGAATTCTCGGGAGGGAGGTGGTTGTAGTATGGAGGACAATATTAGATCACAGGGAGAGGGTGGTCGAAGCCAATAATGGATTTGAAGGCAAAGTTGAGAATGAGAAAATAAAGACTTAAGTTAAAATTGTGTACCAGAGCATATCACGTTGACGTCCTCTTCATGTTCACAGACATGATCTCCCATTGCTGACAATAGGCAATCCGACAGGAATAGTTCACTCCCCTTGCATTGAACTTTGTTCATCCAAATTGTGCCATTTGCTTGGCCGAATAGCGTCTCTTCCACTGTCCACACCGGCTCGCCGCAATTTAATTGTCTGCAAACGACAGCGGCATCATGCCTGTCCCAAGAATCATCACAAACCGTTCCCCACATACCACGGAAAAATATTTCAACTCTTCCCGAACAGTTGTTCAATCCCGCAGCCAGCCGCAACTCTGCAGAGAAAAAAAAATACAAGATTTCGCGAGAAACCAGGCGGTACCTCAGCTTGAAATTGGACAGTTACTTTATTTGCTCCGTTTCAAATTCAAACCCACGATGCTGCTCTGACAGCACCAACATTAATGATTCTGGGTCTCTCCAATATCGCGGTATTCTGCTAGAATACGTCAAAAGAAAATTTGTTCATCGGTCCCGATCGCTGTATCGCCTTACATAAAATTAAAGTAGCTGGCCAACGCGAATAGCGGAAGTTAATTGCCCACTATTGGTTTTATTAATATTAAATAACAACATTTAGAAATTTTATAACTTTTGTTATTAATCACGAATTGAATCCTTAGAACTAATTACCAACATCTTCCGAAATATGTTCCATGTTACTTTTCTTCCTATCCCCCTCACCGTGCGTTTCCCCAGGATTTAGCTCTGAAAAGTAAACAATCGATTATATAAAAAAATACTGTAGCTGATATTTAGCCAGCGCTTTCAACGAGCGCATTAAAAAAAGTGTGAAACCGACGCGTAAAAGGAGACAGGAAAATAGATGACACAAAACGTGGTCAAAGCTGCAGGCTCTAATGTGTGTGCTAAAAGGGGAAAGAGATGAGAGAAATAGAGAGATGATGGGAACGAAATATAGAGCTTTGAGTACAGACAACTGAAAGCGTTGTCACGAAAGGTGGGGCTATTAAACTTAAGAATGAACACTCGGTCAGAATTAGAGCGAGGCGGTTATATCAAAGAGTTTGGGGATTGGAGATGTTCACAGATAAAGGAAGAGGAAAAGCCATGTAGGGAATTGTAAACAAAGATGAGAATTCATTCCAAATTCCCGAACCTGACCATCTAGAAGGACAAGTGCAGTAAATACAAGGAACTCTACCACCTATAGTTGCCCTCCAAGGCACTCACCACCCTGACTTGGGAGTATATTGCCCTTTACTGTCACTGAGTCAAAATCCTGGAATTTCCTTCATAATTACATTGTGGATGTTACTACACCACATGGAATACGACGGTTCAAGAAGGTAGCCCACTGCCACCTCCTCTAGGACAATTAGGGATGGGCAATAAATGTTGACGTCTATTGCTGACGACCATATCCCATGATTTTTAAAGCTTCAAAATGCTAGACACTCAGTGTATGTAGGTCATCGAGTGCAGGTGTGATGGGCTTCGCGGCTTATTACGACTTAAACATACATACCTGAGATATGGGTGCTCTCAAATTTACAAGTGAAGGAAATGTTTAAAGATGATTGAAATATTTCAAGACAAACGGACGCCGTTTGCAGTTCTTACCTGAACAAATGATTCCGACATCTTCCTTGTGGTCACAGTCATGTTGGCCCCATGGTGAAGATGGACAATGCCACAGGAGTGTATCATGCAAACGACAGTTCACATCATCGAGCCAGATCTGTCCAGAACCCCTTCCAAATGTAATAGCACGTTCCACAGATTGGGCAGATCCACACAGGAGCTGTCGACAAACAACTTGCGCTTCCTTTATTCCAAAGGAATCGGCGCAAACAGTCCCCCAGGTTCCATTATAAAAAACCTCGACTCTGCCCTGACAGAGGTTCGCTCCATCCTGCAGCCTCACAGCCCTGTGCTCTGCGGAACAAAGCCTAGGTTAATCTTCTCATTTCCAACCCCAGCCCGGTAAATGTGCATAAAATAAAATCAGGCGGATCCGTAAGCATGTTACTTTGATGATTTTCCTTATCACAGAACACTCGGTATACAATTATTTCAAAGAATTTCATTTCGAATGCACCAGATTGTATCTTAATATCTCATTCTAGATAGTGGTGGCTTGCGACTGGATCGACGGTTTTCTACTGTTAGCAAGAACAGTAAGCTATGGAGTGTCTAATTCAAGGATTCCAGGTCTAATAATCAATCATCCATACTCTAGGTTTATTAAAGTTATCGTTGGCAGCGTTTAATTTTGAAAGCACATCTCACCCGAGCAGATAACTCCAGCATCTTCTTTATGATTGCAGTCGCTCTCACCCCACGGCGCCGCCAGACATTCCCACAAGACAGAATCATTCGCTCCACACTTCACATTGTCTAACCAGATCGGCCCCACTCCTGGACCAAACCAACCGGAAATCGTTGTATTTAGAGCCTGTCCACACCGCAGCTGGTTGCAGACAACTTGGGCGTCTGCTAAATCCCAGGAATCATCACACACAGTTCCCCAGCTTCCATTGTAGTAAAGTTCCACCCTTCCAGCACAGTGACTTCCACTATCCACCAATCTTATCTGAATATGATCTGGAGGACAGGAACAATTATATTAAACAGTTTCTGGTCCGAAAGACAGTACCTGATTGAAAATTATATTCTTAAATTCTAACATGGTGTCGTTGCATCAGTATACTGGACGGCTGGAGTGTCATGCTGAGTTTTGTTATCAGTGTGTCTTTAATTCCCACACAGTCTGATACTGAATACTTTCTTTCTCAACTTCTGCCCTCGCCTAAGGCGTAGCAACCTTCAGGTCAAGCCACTACAGTCATTTCTCTCTAATATGAGAACAGCCCTGTGGTCCGGCAGGATCATCGCGAATTTACCTTTATATTCCCAACTATATAATGTTTCTAACTGTATTTTTTTTTCTTCCTGCGTTTTGATTATTATGGTTCTGCCAAATAGTTACGACATTTTCTCTATTCTCTTGTCACATTGGTGATGACAACTATTTGTATAATTTTGTCATTTGCAGCATCTTCCGTTGTAAACAGTATAGTTCTACAGGTCATAGGGCATGAAATAACTTGTGAAAAGAAAGACTGAATACATAAATTTTGATTAAGATTCTATATATTCCTTACTGAATTTTCGCATTTGCTATCAAATATTTTTGGGGTTTAACCCAATGATGCAACACCGATTATGGTAATTAAAAGCATGGTCATTTAACCGGTAATTACTATAAATTTAGATTTAATTCAGTTTACCTTTGTGAATATAATTACGTTGTTCCTCATTAGCCCTTTAAATCATTGAGATTGTAAGGGATTCAACCATCAGGCAAAAGGCAAGAAAAAATAGCTTTGCTATCTCAGGTGATGGTAACACCGGACAAGTCAAATCCCAGAGTGAAACATAGATTTTAATGCTTGTCCAGAGACAGGTATCAATGCTCATAGATTGTCTCCAGCAACAACACATCGAGCTTAGGTATCCTCTGTTTGAGTTATAGGGAGAGGCTGAATAGGCTATGGCTTTTTTTTCCCTGGAAGATTGGAGGTGAATTGTAACCTTATTGAAAGTTATATGAATAGGGATATGGGCCAAACGCAGGCAAATGGGTCGAGGCCAGATTGGGATGTCTGGTTGGCATGGACGAGTTGGATTGAAGGGTCTATTTCAGAGTTGTATCGCTCTATTATTCTGGTTTTGTTATTTGTTAAGTGTGGGGTTTTTTTGGCCCACTCACACACTGGACTTTTGTGTTTCTTAGAAACGTGTCAAAGGCTGTAAGTTTTGTCCCGGAACATTAAGTGCAGCATTTTTAAAAATCAATTTTAGGGTACGCTTAAGTCATGTCTGTACATCTGCTAAAAAGAACTGTATCCTATGGACTCACTGAGGGCTTCCTAATGACAAACAGTAACAAGGCGACCTTATTGAAATATAACATTCTTAAGGGGATTAGCAGGGTAAATGCTCAGAGATTGTTTTCCCTTGTGAGAGTCTCCAGAACTAAAGGGCATGATTTCAGTGTAAAGGACGCCCGGTTAAGGTAGAGATGAGAAGGAATTTCATCTCTCATAGTTTAATGAATCTGTGAAATTCTTTACCTTAGAGGACATTAGAGGCCGGTTTGTGAAGTATATTTCACGCCGGCTTAAGAATTTTTTTTTAACCTGTAAGGGAATCAAGAGTTAAGGAGAAAAGGCAGTAAAGCGGAGCTGAAGATTATCAAATCAGCCATGATATCGTTGAATTATACAGCAGACGTAGTGAGCCAAATGGCCTCCTTCTGTTCTTAAGCCTTTTGGTCTTATTCTTTACTGGTTCTTAAAGTCTGTCCAATCCAATCATCTGACTGGCCACTTCCCTTTCAGATTTTTACTTTGTACTTTCAATTTAATACCATCTTAACTCTGTATTAAATCGTGAATGATGTTTGGTCTTAATGGGACTTTTTTTTTTCCTCATTGGGAATTCTGCCCAGGGAACATACAATATCAATTATGATTTGTCCCACTCTTTCAGCGGCAATGTACACTGAAGATGTTCCTCAAACAATTCATTTTTACCCCTAGATTGGTGTTAATTCATGTTGATTTGAACCTATTGTATTTAACCAATTGGAAGCTTATGGTCATTTGTTGTGGTCATTTGCTCCAATAGCCTCACAGAGCAGACAAAAAAGTGACTTGCCGAGAATCCCTACAGCAGGCAATTCAGCCCATCAAGTCCATGCCGCTCCTCCAAAGATTATCCCACTCAGACACGCCCCCTACCCTACCTGCATTTGCCATGGCGAATCCATCTAGCCTGCACACCCCTGGATAAACTAGCATGGACAATCGACCTTAACCTGCACATCTGTGGACTGTGGGAGTAAACCAAAGCACTAAAGGAAACCCACACAGACACGGTGAGAATGTGTAATCTCCACACAGACAGTTACCCAAGAGTAGAATTGAACCCTGGTACTGTGAGGCAGCAGTGCTAACTACTGAGCCACCTACTGCCCAAATGATAAATTATGATAATTTGTTGACTTTAAGTCAATTTTAATGACTTTATTTTAATGACTTATGATAATTTCTTTATCTGAAATTCAAGTTTTTTGTTCACTATACACACTGCTTTAGTTAGTCAAGAGGCTGGCAGATTGAATACATGTGACTAAATATTTCCCTCTCCAAAATATAATTAGCAACATATTTAAAATATTGGTTTACATTAAATATAAGTTTTAATTGTCGATGCACAAGAATTTTCAATGAAGTACAGTCTTGGTAATTGCTTGATTTTTTTTCTTCAAGTAAAACCTAATTGAGGTTTACTACCAAAACACAAATTAATTTCTGAATAAGTTCATCAGGAATATAGATATGTAATTTTTTTTAACGAAAAGCTTCTTTGGCTTCTGTATTCGTACAAAATAATACTTTGGCTTTGTTAGCTTACTTCAGAAAGTCTAATGTTAAAGCTGCATGATAATGGTTAAGTAGAACGGAACTAATTGCCACTAAGTGAAGAATTACTATGCAGGGCTTCTTACATTAAAAGTTTATGCAATATTCTGCACAATTTGAGTTAGATAATTAAAGATGTCCTTACCAGAGCAAATCACACCCACATCATCAGCAATAGACGACTCTTTCATTTGTGTAAAACTGCAATTCCACAGGAAGGATTCACTTCCATTGCATCTGACATTGTTGATCCAGGATGGGCCTGTGCCTTTCCCAAACTTCGAGTGATTGTAAACTCTTATTGCAGAGCCACAATTCAGTTGTCTGCAAACTACATCTGCATCATTGTAATTCCACTGAGTGTCAGTCACTCTTCCCCAAATGCCACCATAATAAACCTCCACTCGGCCATCACACATGGTCTCCCCATTGCCCAGTCGCATTTGCCAATCTTCACCTGTACGAATGCAATTCGATAATCAAGGTTCATTCAACATTTCGGAGTTGAAATGTGGACATCAATTATAAAAGTTGTTATTCTGTGGTTTGTCATTACTCAAGTAATGAAAAGGAAATACGTTACAATCACAAAATGTAAAGGTTGTCAGCAATTTAAAGAGAGTGAAGTTTTAAGAGAAGCGTCAGTCAGAACATTTGTATTCAGAAGGACAATACATTTCTTCACTTGATCTGCATGTGACCACAGACCCATCGCAATGTTTCTCTTTACTACCTTTTTAATGGCCTAATAAACTATTCAGTTGGAGTGCAATTACTGGACAGCATTAAGTGCTGGCCTCGCCAAAGATACTCACATTCCAGGAATGAAGAAAAATAAAAAAAATCCATTTTGTTTTGTTATTTAGGAGCAGGTGGACTGCGTTGGAAGGACCAGAGTTTGCTTTTGACAAGATTACAATTTGACCCTTTCCTGATCCCACTACAAACTTTATGCTATTCCTATAATCACACAGTAGGGAGGGAGTTGCAATATGTTGCCTCCGGAATGATGGCGAAATGATAATATTTTTCCAAGTCATGATAGCCTGTGAACTGAAGGGGGTCTTGGAACAGGTGGCATTACTGTATGCCTAATGCCTTTGGCCTAACAGGTAGTAGATTTCTTGGGAATGAAATGTGCTGGCAGAGATCTTTGAGCTGCCAGATCACTCCTAATGCTAAAGCAAACACAGAATTTTGGAGAAAGTCAGCAGGTCTGGCAGCACGTGGAGAAAGAAGCAGAGTTAACATTTTGAGTGTGACACTTCTTCAGAAATCTGTTGTGAAGTTTAGGATATGTGCCAGACTTGCTGAGATCCTCTGTGCCAGATAAATTATTCAGTTACACACAAGACTAAGAAGCCAGTATTGAGAGTGAGGTACTCCCATTGGAGCAAGTCATACCTCTCATTTGGAACAGACGTTCCAGTAGATATCAGGGTCTGAGCTTTGACTTAGTCGTAGCTATGCACTTGTAAGGATCGGGCAAATTTACACCTACAAAAGAAATTGCACGAGAAACTCAGCAAGTCTGCCACGATCTGGGGAGAACTAGCACAGTTAACGTTTCAACTCAAGTGAACCGTCTTCAGAAGTGCACTCTAAACATTGACTCTGTTTCTCTTTCCACACATGCTGTCAGACGTATTGAGTTTCTGTTTCTATTTAAGATTTTCAGCATCCTGCAGACGCATGTCTTATTTCTGTGCAAATTTATTGCTGGATTTCTCATAGGAAGTGTAAAATCCGATTAATTTTAATTTCCTCTGACAAAGGAGATATATTGAAGGGGAGAAATAAATGACTTTCTATCCTGCTACGTGGAACCCCTCACTCTGCTCTCCGCCACGTTTCGGAAAGTATCACAAATCAGATTCGTGGAATAATTACAAAGCAGAAGAATTTGGCTTTTTGTACCAACGATGAGCCATGATATACCATGTACTTGAGAAATCTTACACAAAAATAGATACAACTAAGAGAACAATAAATACCTGAAGCTGAATGAAACACCTACCAGAACAGATGACTCCAGCATCATTGCTGTGTGAGCACCTACGGTGCCCCCAGGATGAAACCGGGCAGTCACGCAAATGCATTTCATTGCCGATACATTCGTTGACATCATTCCATATCGTCCCATTTCCTTCCCCAAAAAATGCGCCTCCTGGTGTTGCTGTCGCGACTCCACAACCGAGTTGATTGCAGACCGCAGCTGCATCCTGTAAATCCCAGTAGGTATCGCAGACTGTGCCCCAGGTATCACCCTGCAGTATCTCCAGTCGTCCCGAGCAAGTATCATTACCACCAACTAATCGCGGTCCCCTTTGACCTTGGTGCAGAAACAAGACATGTTATTCAGCTACTTTCATGTTCTAATAGAAATCATCTCTTTTGTACATTTCTAAAGTACGTACAGAAGAGATTATTCGAACAAGGAAAGCTCAAGTTTTCAGCAAAGGCTGACAAAGCAGCGTCGCAATTTGGTGAGACAAAGAAGCTTTGATGACAGCAAAATGTCGCTGCAACAGCAGATAGGTGAATGGAGATGTGCTGTGGGAGCAAAAGGTAGGACACATGTTGAGAGTCAAGATGAAACTCCATCGTAGAGGATGACGCCAACGTTCTGTGAGTGAAAGGAATCTAGACAGAAGTAATCATCTAAAGAGAAGCTTTAGACTTGAATTCGCCCGATTATTGTGAAACAGAACAACAAATTGTTTGAAGATGTCTTTAGATTGGAGTTTCTAGTAGAAGAAAAGCCGGGACCTCAGCAAGGGATACGATATGCTTTCCATTTCACAAGATGAAGAAGATACAACAGGGATGAAAATTGACTGAATCCTGTGGGAAGCTATCGGGCATTTATTGTTCTCATTGTATTTTTGCCTGATGAGGACAAGTCCATTAGGATCCGAGGCGGGTTTGTGCAACATATATGGAAGTGGCCCTCGCAATAGTTTCTGAGCTTTGGCTCATTGTGTTTTTATTGCCTGCTACTATATTAGGATGAAATTATTTAGTTCAGTTTGAACTGCAAACAAAGCTTCCATGAAAACGGGGATTAAATGAATTTGATACTGATAGTGAAAGGGATATCCTAGCGTCAGGTTGAATCCTCATGTTGACACGCGAACAGCAATCTGGGTCAGGTGTTGAAATCAACGATGTTTCCCACATCAATGACAAAGGTACAAGCGGAGAGAAATAAAAAGGTCGAATTTACAGGAAATTATCACGAATTCTAAACTTTGTGTTCCACCGAATCTACGAATAGGCAGAGACAGAACACTTACCAGAACAAATGATACTGACGTCATTTATGTGTGTGCAATTCTTTTGATTGTTTGGTCGAATAGGGCAGTCCCAGAGAATGGTCTCATTACCCTGGCATTCATAGATATCCTGCCATACTGGACCACTGCCCTCTCCAAATTGAGCCTCTCCAAGTACTGCTATCACTCCTCCACATTTCAAGGAAGCACAAACCACACGAGCGTCTTGTGAATCCCAATGTGAATCACACACCGTGCCCCAAGTATTCCCTTTCTGTACCTCCAATCTTCCAGAGCATCCATCCGTTCCACCAACCAGTCTTGGCTCTCTGTGCTCTGTTGTTTTAAATAGATGGAATAAATTCTTCAACATAATTGGCTTGAATTTACAAGTTATATCAAGAAAATTATTTCTACCAGACTTTAGTAATGATCAAATGATGAAATGATAGCTTTTTTGATGAAGTGTAATTGACCCTTCCTTACTTTTTAATATTTCTTCCAAATAGTTAATAATAGATTGTGACACAATTTTTAGTGACCCAGATAGTGCAGTTGAACACTGAGGTTTCTGAATTACTGCCTTGTGATCTTATTTGAGTTTTAATTTGTATGGTGAGAAAAGTAAAAAAAAGGAACTGACCTGATAACATTGTGATACAAAACTGGATTTCGAGTAGGTCACATAGATGACACAAACTTAGATTTTTATTTTCACGATTTGAAACTTCAAACTATCCTTTTGGGATAAAGTAATTGCAAGTATAACATATGTGTATTACCTACTAAATAAGCTTTTGTAAATCTTAATCCACTTCACAAATCTCTATCATCAAAATGCACAATTATTAATTGTGATTGACAACTGTAAACAAGTTGTACATGTGCTCTTTATCACGGTTCAAATTAGTGGAATTAGTGGAACATAATTTATTTCTTAACTGTTCGGTGGCAAAAATAGGAATGTGACAGGAATGAGTGTTCTCTCCTATATGTGCAACAGTATCTTGATAAGCTTTCTCCAACAGCACCTTCCAAAACTGCTACCTTTCACCAGTAAAATGAAAAAGGCAGCAAATGCATGGAACACCAACACTTACAAGCTCCTTTCAAAATCATACATCATCATGACTTGGAAGTATAGTGCCATTTCTTTGGTAGTTTGGTCAAATTCTGTAACTGGCTTCCCGACAGCACTCTGGTTGTATCCATGTCACAGGAATGGCTGGGCTGAATAAGATGGCTAATCACCACTTTCTCATGTGCAATTAAGGATGGGCAGTAATACTGGTCTAGATGATGCCTAAATCCTGTTATGGAATCAATCAAATAAATTTGTGCCTTGGTAATTTTTGTTAGGAAGTACATAACCACATTATTTCTACTAACAAGGTTATTCCATGCCCCGAAGAATGATTACCCTTCATTCTTTTCATTTAGCAAAGAACACATATATCAGCACTTTGCAGTAACAAGAAAGGAAATGATTTTGTGAGTCACTGGTGAATCACACCTGAAGTCTGCGTCTCTATAAATGCAGAAATTGGAATTTACACATCGTACGCAAGTTAATAAAAGTTTCTACTTAGGGCAGTATGATGAATAAAAGAGAAACAAATTACCTCAGCATCACTTACTCAGCACAATTCATTAAAGATGCAGAAAAGCATAAGCTTCTTATTTTATCTCCAGCAGGAAGAGAGGAGCTGAATATTATTTAAATGGAGTAAGACTATAGAAATTTGCAGTACAGGGATATTTTGGAGTCCTAGTGCATAAATGACAAAATACTGGTATGCAGGTTCAGTCGGTAACAAGGAAAGAACATGGAATGGAGTTCAAAATTAGTCAGTTTTTCTGAAACCTACGCAAGGCACTCGTCAGACTACAGCTGGAATACTTCGAACATTTTTTTATCTGTTTCTCATCGGTTGGCATTCAAGTTGCTTTCTATTTCCTGATTAGCACTTCTACACTGATCATGAAACATTTTCGATCCTTATTCAAATATTTCAACACATGGCCAATAGTCTTGTGTGCTATGCTGTTTCAAGTGTTCATCGAAATTGTTCTTAAATGCCTTAAGGTTTCCTGCATCTAGCACTCCTTCAGGAAGTGAGTTCCAGATACCCGGAATCCTTGATAACAAAATATTTTTCTCAAATACCCTCCAGCACTTCTGCTCCTTATCTTAAAACTGTACCTCCTGATTATTGACCCCTCTATTAAGGGAAAAGTTATTCGTATCTGCACTATTGCTGCCCCTTTGAGCTTTCTACACCTCAATCAGATATCCCTCAGCCTTCTCAGCTCTAAAGAAAACAGTTCCAGTCTATCTAGGTTCTCTTTGAAGCTGAATCACTTCAGATCAGGCAATATCCTCGTGAAGCTCCTCTGCACTTCTCTAGGATAATCCTTCCTGTAGTGTGATAACCAGAACTGCACACATTTACTCCAGCTTTGGCTTAACACTGTGCACTGTTCATAATGTCCTTGTTCTTGTATTCAATGCCTTGTCTAATATTTGTAAGTATTCCATATGCCTTCTTGACCGTTTTATCTACCTGCCATGCTGCACACACGGATCTTGGGCATGGGCACCAAAGTCCCTCAGATCTCCGTAAGGCGCTGCAATGCAATATGTACTTCTTTGCGTTGATAGTCTTCAAAATGCATTATTTCATTCTTTTCAGGATTGAATTGCATTTGCCACTGCTCAGTACATATGACAAAACTAATTTGTATGACATCTGGGCACTTACTGATCATTACTCCTGCATTCATGCCTAGGCAATAAATATACACAACAGAATCAGCCTCGAACCCTGTGGTACACCACTGCACACAAGCTTCCAGACATAAAACACCTTTGGACCATCACACTCTGTTTCCTGCAACTAATCCAAATTGCACTGGATCTTCTGGGCTCTTAGTTTCTTCGTCAGTCTGCTATGTGAGACCTTGTCAACAGCCTTACTTCAGTCAATGTAAACTCTATTAATTCAATTACCCTCATCTAGACACTTCTTCACCTCCTTGAAAAATTCAATCAATTTAGTGAGACATGATCTCCCCCTTATAAAGCTATGCTGAGTATCCTTGATTAATCCCTTCCTCTCCAGGCAGAGATTAATTGTGTCCCTTAGAATTATTGCCAATTGTTTCCCTGACACAGATGCTAATTTCATTGTTTATTCCTTCTAGTCTTCTCAAATAATGACACTACATTAGCTGTCTTCCAGAACTCCGGCACCCCTCCTGTAAAGATTTGAAAATTAGAGTCCACGCAATCTCCTCTCAAAACAAAACGAAAGAACTGCCGATGCTGTCAATCAAGAGCAAAAACAGAAGTTGATTGAAAAGCTCAGCAGGTCTGGCAGCACCTGTGAAGAAAAAATCAGAGTTAACATTTCGGGTCTGGGTTCTGAGGAAGGGTCACGAGACCTGAAACGTTAACTACGATTTGTTTTCACAGACGATGCAATAACTGCTGAGCTTTTCCAGCAACTTCTGTTTTGGTTCCCAATCTCCTCTCTTGCCTCCCACAGCAGCTTGAGATGAATCTCATCTGGGCTTGTGGGATTTTCCTACTTTTAAACCGACTAAAACAATGAATGCAAATGCTAATGTCTCAACGCTAATTCATTCAAGCATATCACATTCCCGCTCCCTGTTTTCTTGTCCTATGTTGTCCTTCTCTACAAAGAATACAGATGAAAAGTGCTTATTTAAAACTTCAGCAATATTTTTTACCTCCACACACAGGTTTCAACTTTAGTCCCTAATTGTCCTTACTCTTTTCATGGTTATTCTCGTGCCCCAAATGTACTTTGTCCCTTTCTGGGGACATGTTGGCTTACACTCTTTCTATTACCCTTTTGAATATCTCCACTGCTTTGATGCGGATTTTTATGCAAGCAGCTGGTCCAAGATCTATCTCATCTTATTAAAATTGGCATTCTTCCAATTTAGAACTTTATTTCCAGCATAGCTTTAACCTTGTTCATTATAATCTTAAAACTTGCTGAATCGCAGCCACTTACAACAAATACTACCCCCATTGTCCGGCTTAGTGTCGCTACATTCAGACTATAAATACACACCCCAACCCCCCAAGGAACTTTCTACACTCTGGTTTTAAAAGCTCTCCTGGAAACTTTTTTAAGAATTCCATCCCCTCTCAGCCTTTCACACATTGTATTTTCCAGTTAATATCGGGAAAATCGAAATCTCCTAATATCATTACCCTAATATTTTTTTCTCTTCTGATTTACCTACATACCTGCCATTCTTACTCTCGAACTATTTGGGTAATTGTAGTGCACCCCAGCAAAGTGATTGCTCCCATTTTGTTATTGAGTTCTGCCCATATGGCCTAAATTGTGGAATCTTCTAAGATGTCATCCCTCTTTGCTGCAGTACTCTAATTGAATGCAACAGTGTCAATGAGATAAATGGTCTATTTCCGTTCCTATGTTTTATGTTTTAACTATCACACTCTAACTCTATTAAGTTCCACTTTCTGCAATTCGGACGGTCTGCTGTAGCTTGTGAGTAAATTAAAACTATTTTCCCCTCAGCACCTTTGTAACAGCTGAGGGAACATTTTATTTCTAACCAGAGATAGGCTGTCCCTCTACTTTCTGTTCCTGATCAAATAGTAGCAACTTCAAGAAGAGATTACCAAAATAAGAATTGCATAATATATAAATTTCTGAAATATGATGAATCTTTTCCATATAATACTGTAGCTACAAGGGTAGTCAGCAGTAACGTACAATGGAGTACATAACTGACCTCCTGACTCTCCACAGCCTGTCCACGAGTCAAAGACGTGAGTCAGAAATGTGATGGAATGCTCTCCAACTCCCTTTATGATTCAGCCTCAACAACAGTCACTGAGCCCATCCAAAACAATGCAGAGCAGAGCAGTTAGCTAGGTTGTTACCATACATACTCACTCCATTCATCACTGATTCACAGTCGCAACAGTATGTAAAATCTACAAGATGCATTGAAAAAATTCATGAAGGTTACTTAGAGATCACTTTCCAACCCATTATGTCACCATTTAGAAGAACAAGGGCAGCAAATACATGAGAATACCACGACCTGATAGCTCATCTCCAAGCCACTCATCATCCTGATTTGGAAATGTACCACCATTCATTCAGTGCCACTGGGTTAAAATCCTGGGAATTCCAATTTAACAACATTGTGTATGCTTCAACGCCAAATGACAGCAGCAGTTCGAGAAGGCAGCTCACTGCCACATTCTCATTGGTAACTAGGATGGGCAGTAAAAGCACACATTCAATAATTTGTTTTTAACCTTGACTTCTATGTCGATAGCAAACAAGTTGAGTTCAATAATTTTGTTATTTAATCATTTACATGATTGTACAATTCGTTCAGTGTTGTATACAATAATGGAAATGTCATTTTATTATCTAAAATAATATAGGCAGAAAAGTTACCTGAACACACAACACCAGCTGCTTCTGTTTCTGCAGAGCAGTTTCGGTGAGCCAAAGGTTTCATTTCACATTTCCAGGGGTCATCCTCAGTACCTTTGCAGTGAAGTTCAGTGTTCAGAATCGGGACAACACCAGCCCCAAACTGAGAATTCCCTGATGCAGATACAGCGTCACCACAGTTCAGAAATTTGCAGAAAGCACGAGCTTCATTCATATCCCACATTCGGCCACAGAGTACACGGAACAATGTAAAGCTACTGGCCTCAACTCTTCCAGCACAAGGGCTACCTCCATCCTTAAGCATAGCATTTTGTTTGACTGTCAGGGAAGATTTTTTCAGATTATTTACATTGGCTATCATTGACCAATTTAACAGAATACAATAAACCACTTGACTAAAATCAACTACACAAAAAGCTATTTTGGCCGGAACAAAAAAAAACTGCAGATGCTGGAATCTAAGGTAAACAAACAGGAGGCTCAAAAAACACAGCAAACCAGGCAGCATTTAGAGGAAAGGAGCAGTCAACATTTTGGGTATTACTGTTCTTGGCCAGCCTTCCTCTTTTGAAACATAGTATTAATAAAAGTCTACCAAACAAGAGTTAGCTCTAAAATTACAGCAAAAGCATAAAGGCTAGTTGTCAATATAGGGACGGCACAGAGTGCAATCCTTTAACACAAGATGTCTTAATAGAGATAGTATATTATTAGCAATTTGTACTATAAACATAAAATGAGAAGGCAGAATAGACAAACAATATATTTTGGAAATATGGATTGTATAAAAAAGTACAAAGATTTGAAATCAAATGTAGTGGACAAGTCATAGTCTTCACACATGGACAGAATTATTCTTTTAGCATATGAAAGCAAGAGAATTGTTCTGAATTGGCAACACTGCATATGGCATTACAATAGACCGCTCTACAGTCAATCAGTTCTAAATCCTCTGGGTTTCCAGTCCACTAACATTAACGCTATGCCATATCTTTCCCTAATTCCAGTAACAGTGAACTGGTGAAACAGAACTATTTATTTCCTTCATTCGTTGCATGTGTCTCTAGATGTGAGAAGAGGGATGAAATACAACTGTTATGATATTATACCACTCAAGCATACTTGATGGTCTCCTGGCCAAACAGAAACGAATGTTGTCTCATCGCATTTTTGAGCGCTCATATGCTATATCCTTCATCCTGGGAATTTGGCATTGCTGTTTGAATGTTCACTTTGGCATAGCTTAATTTTCAGCATGAAATTTTATGCAACTTTCTTTCAAAAAGGGCAGCCTGCCATAAAAGAGATTGGTTGCAACAAGTTTCTAGACCCCGTGACTCAGTCATGGATGAATGTAGAAGGCAGGAGCAACTTTGACGGATAAAGAAATGTACTACAGTTATGAGGTTGAGGTGTGTGCATCAAATTTGTATGTTGTGCCAGTTAATCTGTTAGCCAGATGTGAGCAGACATACCTAAAGAAAGAGCAGGCCACGTATTAGTCCTTTTTCTCTTGAGGTCCGGGGGACAAGGTGAGTGCATGGTATGGGATTGCTTCAGCTTTTATAGGTATTTTGAACCAACCAGCTTGCATGTGTTATTACACACCTTTAGGTTAGATGGAACATGAATTTTGACCTTCTAGTCCAGAGGCTGATGTGCCTGAAGAAACATTTTAATATTCCTAGCATCTTATTTACTTACTGAGATTGGTGCATCAAAGTATTAGCAAATTATGTCTCATTTTATGATCAGTCATGTTTTCCCAATGGACATGATAACGAGTCAAATTTATGAATGGTCAAAGAGGCATTGGATAAATGGATGATAGAGATAAAGAAGAAAAACAAATATTCTCATTTGACTCTGTTCCAAATAAAAACGAACAAGTTTAATTGAAAACACAAACTGCTGAGGAGTTACCAGCTGAATTTTATTCAAAGCAACTAACAAAATTGGTATTCTTTAACTGTAGGTTCTGAAAGATATTACCAGAGAAGCAGAGGAAGAAATACAACAGACATGCAGGAATGAAACTACAGAAACCAAATTTGTTAGTAGGACACATATAAATAATGCCAGGTGTCGAGTTCAATGATATCAGATTAGGTGTACACTTAGACGTTTTTGGTCAGGCAATAAAACAATGCAAACTTTGAATGACATAATGTCTTTAGAGTTACAAAATGTTTCAAGACACTTCACACAGGCATTATAAAAGAAAAAAAAGACACCCAGCTGCATAGGGAGACATTAATGAAGAAAATCAGAATTAGAATTAAGGAGAGTATGAAATGAGCAAAGCAAGATAATGAGACACAGTCAGTTGGGTAAGGAAATTCAGAGCCTGAGGATCAGGTTGTTGACTTGCTCACCGAGCCAGTGTGCTAGATTACAGTTATTTCATCACCCTGCCAATTAACATTGTCAGTGCGGCTCTGGTAAAGAGTCGGTGTTCTGTCCCGCTTGTTATTTATATGCCTAGGTTCGCTGGGGTGGTTGGTGTTACTTCTGGTTCTGTTTTTCAGTGGTTTGTGTATCGGGTCCAGTTCAATGTGTTTGTTGAAGGAGGTCCGGTTGAATGCCAGGACTCCAGGAATTCCTTGACATGTCTCTGTCTGGCTTGTGCTATTAAGGATGCGTTGCCCCAGTCAAATTTGTGCCCTTCTTTATCCGTGTGTATTGAGACCAGTGATAATTGGCCGTGTCTCTTGGTGGCTAATTGGTGTTTGTGTATCCTTATTGTCAGTTTTCTTCTGGTTTGGCCTATGTAATGTTTTTCACTGTCGTTGCATGGTATTTTGTATATTACGTTAGTTTTTTGGTTGTGGATATGGGGTCCTTTACTTTCATTAGTAGCTGTCGCAGGGTGGTTGCTGGTTTGTTGCCTACCCTGATATGTTGGGGTCTGAGCAGTCTTGTGGTCATCTCTGATATGTCTTTGATGCACGGTAGGGTGACTAATGTGTCTGACCGAGTCGTGTCTTCTTGTTGTGGTGTGTCGTGGAGGTAATGGTGGATTGTGCTTTTTGGTTATCCATTTCTTCTAAAAACTCTGTATAAGTGCTCCTGTTCAGTTTTGTGTAATTCCAGGTTACTGCAGTGTGTAGTGGCTCATTTGAATAAAGCCCTGATGTGGGTCTGTTTATGGGTGTTGGGGAGGTTGCTGGAGCAATTAAGTATCTGGTCCTTGTGTGTCGTCTTTCTGTATGCGCTAGCCTGGAGTTCCCCGTTGTATACAACCCAAACTCTGTTTCCGCTATGTAGATGAGACCTTCGTGATTATCAAATGCACAAGACTAGAAGAAACACACCGACACATAATCAACATCCTCACCGGAATAAAATTCACAAAAGAAGAAGAGAACAATAACCGACTGCTCTTCCTAGACATAATGGTAGGACGTAAAAACAACAGAGAGCTCGAGACCAGCGTATACAGAAAGACCACACATCCTGAATCGACACTTAATTACTCCAGCAACCACCCAACATGTATAAACAGAACTGCATGAGGGCATTATTCAAACGGGCCACAAACGGACTGCAGCAACCGAGAATGACACAAAGCAGAACAGGAGCACTTCACGACTGACCACAACAAGAAGACACAACACGGCCAAACACACTAGTCACCGACTATACATCAGACACATGTCAGAGATGACCACAAGACGACTCAGACCCCTAGGTATCAATGTAGCCCACAAACCAACAATCACCCTATGACAGCAACTGACGAATGTAAAGGATCCCATACCCACAACCAATAAAACTAACGTAATATACAAAATACCACACAAGGACTGTGAGAAACATTACAGAGGCTCAAACCAGAAGAAAACTGATAATAAAGATACACGAACACCAATTCTTCACCAAGAGACACGATCAATTTTCACTGGTCTCAAAACACACGGTCAAATGAGGACACACGGTCAAATGAGGAACCTTGGGACATTGCATCTATAATAGCACAAGCCAAAAAGAGACATGCCAGGGAATTCCTGGAGTCCTGGCATTCCAACCGGACATCCTTCAGCAAACATATTGAACAGGACCCGATATACGAACCACTGAAAAACAGAACCGGAAGAATTGCCAAACACCCCAGCAAACTGAGGCATATGAATAACAAGTGGGACAGAACACCAACACGTCAGCGGAGGTGCACTGACGATGTTACCTAGCAGGGTGATGAAACGTTTTCAGTCAAACACACCGGCTAGGCGAGCAAGCATACAACCTCATCCAAAACCCGAGCTACAAATCTTCTCAAAAACTTTAAACATCTAAGGATCAGTAGGCATGCCCTTTGATGATAAAATTGTGGATGCTCAAGTGGCCAGAAATAAAGAAGTGGTGATATCTTGTACCATTTAAAGAGCTCTTGTGGTACAGTGGTGATCTCCCTTTCTCAGGACCAGGAGGTCTGGGCTCAAGTCCCACCTGCTTCAAAGTTGTGTGATGATATTTCTGAGCAGGGTGATTAGAAAATATCTATCTTGCAGCACTTGAGGAAGGGTCCATGTCGGACAGTGGCAATGTGGAACCTTGTAACAGGTATTTAAGATCAACCTGCGCCCCATGTGTTATAATATGTCTGAAACAGGAGCTTTAACAATAATGCACAGGTGGAAAATATTACAGATATATTGAGAGGTTAGGCAATGGAGAGATTTAAAACCAAGAATCATGAATTTAAAACCAATGAATTGCTGAAATAGAAGCCGGATCATTTCAAATATCATGGAGTTCAGATGGGAGTCATGGTTGTGCTTTGTGTGGCTGAGAGTAAAAAAGATTAGTGTGATTTGGAGATGGACGGCAGAGTTGTGAACCTTGTTAAATTTATGATGAACAAAATTAAGGAGGGATAAGCTGAACAGGCCACGGGTGGGTGACTTGACAGAGGTGAAAACTGGTGGCCTTAAAATTCATGCAGCTATGTGGTCATTTTGGGGTTAAATACAAATCTGAGTTTGTGAAATGTCTGGACTTCAGAGATAGGCAATTGCTGGGCAGAGGCCTGGAATTGTATCCATAAAGTGAATTTAGTTATAAGGGCAGAAGACAATGTTTAAGGACTTTTTTTTATCCTGTCTTCATCCAGCCTGGGATGTCGAATATAAAGGTGAATAACTTGAAGAAAGTGGCGAGTTTGAAACTGGTGAGGGAAAACAGGATGTCATTATATTAAATGTGAAATTTTCATCTTTGCTTATATCACTACTCGGAAACGTGTCGATTGTAAATGTAAGGAAGAACATTTTAAACAACCTGTCATCTTATTTCCTTCTCAGAACTTTTCCGTGTGCACCTTGCAGGTGTCTTCGAGTGTTTGCATAAATAAAATTGGGAGCTCAATGTATGATATGATGGTGCTCTCACTTTAAAAGATTATTTTGTTCTGTTTGTTTTTTGAAGAGAGTTTGTAAAGACAGTGATGCAGAAATGGCGACTGAAGGTGTGAACAGCTTAGGAGGTTTTGGGTTTGTTTTACTGCCTAAAGGGATATGGGCAGCTCTCACAGACTAGGCCTTCTAGTTCTTTCGCATAAGCAGCAGAAGTTGTTTGGGGTCTCAGACGAGTTGGAAGCTTTGCTGAATGTTTCCTCGCTGCTGATTTCTCTGAAATCTCTCGGATTTTTCTTTTCTTACTGGATTGAAGAACTGTCTGTAAGAATCTGTGTCTGAATTTGCCTTTTTATCTAGGATTGTGTTTATGGAATGTTACTAAATTGGAACAGTTATTTAGTAATAGGCATGATATCTATTATTTTGGTTAAGTTTTCCAATAAAGCTGATCAAAATTCCTGTTTCTTTATTTTGCGTTTTTACTATAGTGTTTAAATAAATTATGTTTTGCTTAAAGTCGAGCAGTTTGACCAGTCGTATCTCATCTGGAATAGGCACTTCACATCTATCTTTAAAATAAGAAAAAGTTAGGGTCTTAGGCTACCTTGTTAAAATATTTTGAGGAGTTCTCGTCTGGTCCATAACAACGACTATGCTGGGGAATGCAATAAATTTTCTTGGAAAGGTTACATGCAAACGATCTATGTACATGAAAAAAAAGCATATTCAATATTAATTGTCAACGACGCGGATACCTTTACAGAAGTAGCCTACGGTCGTCCCAGTTTCACAGCCCTGCTGGTCCGAAGCACTTAATGGACATTCCCAGAGTGACGACTCAGTTCCGTTACAATGGACTTTATCCAACAGAATAGGTCCAGTTTCTTGTGAGATGGGTATAGCCAATGTTGTGTGATAGGCATTGCAACCAATCTGCCTGCAGACGACTTCTCCAGTAGATGAATCCCACGGACTACTACAGACGGAACCCCATCGACCTCGGTAACGAACCTGCAGTAGCCCGATACATGGCGCTTCCGGGCCTATTAATTTCAATTCACTCAACTCTGTTAAGCATTCAAGTAGGGACATTAATTATGAAAACAATCCAGACTGATTTGACATAATCATCCTGGAATCATTATCTTTAAATCACAATTTTAAAATTCTTTTGACAGTCAACTTGCGCTTCAATCGAATTTTCTTTTGCTACCCGTGTCGCTTTGATCCGCGTTTATGTTTGAGACAGAAGAAAAATGAGTTAATGAAACTCTTTCAGTTATGTTACTGATTAATTTTAACTCAGATTTCGAAACAATGCATTATATTTAGAATTTCTCATGGTCCACTGAGATGGTACGAAATGTAACTTACACGAAACACTTCCAGATTTGTTCACATCCATAGAATTATAGAATTCCTAGAGTATGGAAGCAGGCCATTCGGCCCATCGAGCACCACGCAGATCAGCGGACATCTATCAGCATGCTAAATTCAATACATAGTCGGCGGCAAATTCAAATTGAGCAAAACTCAGTCGGGTCGGATCTAAATCTACGACTATTTACACACTGGTTGCCATTCAATTGTACACGCATGCATCGATTCAGGATTGACTGTTGCATTATTTGTAGCGTTGGAACTGTATCGTGAATGAACAAAAAAAAAGGCGCGAGATTGGTGTTTTCTGGTTTCTGCGTGTCTAAGGTCAAGTCTAGGCTAACCTCGTTCAACGCTAACATGGTACCTACCGCTGGTAATGGTTCGGTAACATTGGAAGTAATTTTATCAGGCGAGAAAATAAGTTGTGAAAAGAGACGTTTTGAGAGATCGTTTCATGGTATAACTAACATTGGTAAAGGGACTACGATCCCTGGCATAATCGGCGCAGTGTTTGACGTTATTTCTTTTCTCGGTAGCTTGGGGACCCCTAGGGAACTCGAGTTTACAACGCCTACAGGCAAGAAGATGTAAGATGTGTGGGCAGTGTTTAAGATGCAAGAGAGATCTTAGGTCCTTCTTAGGTCTTCACTTCCAACGAATTTGCGCATGAGAGTTGCAGGTCAGTGTTCTTACCATTAAAAGAGTGTCAATGTTAATCTTATAGAAAAAAGAAATGCAAAAACTCGTTAAAATGGTCTCATTACACATATTATAAATAATGACTCACCCTTTATATCCTTAAAAAAAACTTTCAGATACTCAAAACAGAGTGAAGCATAACCCTCTTTCCACTTTAAAGTTCCTTCTTTAGTTGGCATGGCTGTAATTATTTTCTTCCGGGAAAACTTTTGGATTCTCTCAATGCTAGCTTTCGTTAATGTCTCTTTATCAGACTCGTCAATGAACTGCTAACAACTCACTTATTTCAGAACATAGACTTCTTAAATTCTTCTTCCAGAGCCTTCTGTTTCTGGTTTTTTTTCTTACTGATAATGAAGCACTCAAGGGTGCTTTGCAACCAAAACTGATTTGGAGACTGCTAAGCTTAAAATCTCTTTGCTGTCACACACTTCTTCTCTCTGACAGAGACCTCCACACTGTGCATGGCAGAATCCTCCATACTTACTGACTTATGGATGGTTCTGTCTTGATAAAAGAAATATATTCTATCTGTGTCTCGTTCTATCATCTGACATCTTGTTTTGAGACAAGAGCGCAATATTTTCCTCTCATTTGCGCTTTGTTTCCTGAAGCATAAAACTTTTCACCTCAAGAAGCTTTTGTTTTTTTAAAAACAACATGGATTTAAATGCATGAAAACACATTTAAAAACACCTCTCAGAGTTCCAAAATGAAACTAAAGTCCTTCCCTTCAATATCCACACAATATGGAGATATGCAACAAACATAATGCTCTTTGTGGTTCTGTCCACTTTAGATTCCACATTTTAAATAATAATTCAAATTTATCAGGAGTATTGATCATACAGATCACTTGTCAATCTTCAAATTTGCACTCATAATTTCTTTAACTTATTATAGTTTTCCACTCCACTAAATATATATTCGTATTTAAAATATATTGGCAGGATAGGTTTCAGGTAAACTGAGGACCACTCTGCCAGTTTAACAGAATTCTTACCATTGCTAAACGAATAAATTATATATTCAAATAAAATCATTTAACATTATCAAATGACCAGGACAGATTTCTGACCTTGAGTTTCAGGTATACGTTCAGAAAGTCATAGAGTCATACAGCATGGAAACAGATACTTCAGTCCAACTTATCCAAATCGACCAGACATCCCAATCTGACCTAGTCCCGCTTGCCAGGATTTGGCCCACATTCCTCTAAACCCTTGCTATTCATGTACACTTCCAGATTTCTGTTAAATGTCGTAATTGTACTCACCTCCACCTCTTTCTCTGGCAGCTTGTTCCAGACGTGCACTGTGAGAAAACGTTACCCCTCAGGTCCTTTTTAAATCTTTCCCCTCTCACCTTAAAGCTATACACTTTAGTTTTGGACTACCTCACACAAGGAAAAAGTTTTTGCCTATTCACCTTATCCATGACACTCATGATTTTATAAACCTCCAAATGGTCACCCCTCAGCCTCAGATGCTCGAAGGACAAAAGCCCCAACCTATTCAGCCTTTCCCTATCATTCATACCCTCCAGTCCTGGCATCACGTTTGTTAATCTTTTCTGCATCCTCTCAAGTTTAGCAATATCTTTTCTATAGAAAGGCGATCAGAATTGTACATAGTATTCCAAAAGTGGCCTCACCAATGCCCTGTACAGCTGCAACTTGACATCCCAACTCCTACAATCAGTGTTATGACCAATGAAGGCAAGCGTGTCAACTGCCTTCCTCACCATTCTGTCTACCTGCAACTCCACTTTCAAGGAATTATGAACCTGCATCCCTTGGTCTGCTTATTCAGAAATACTCCCCTAAGCCCTACCATTTATCGTATTATTCCTGCCCTTGTGCCTTACCAAAATGCAATACCTCATATTTATCTAAATTAAACTCCAGCTGCCACTCCTCTGCCCATTGGCCCATTTGATCAAGGTCCCATTGTGCTCTGAGATAATCTTCTTCACTGTCCACTACACCAAGTCTTTTGGTGTCATCTGCAAACTTACTAATCGTACCTCCTATATTCCCATTCAAATCATTTATTTAAAGTATTTCTTCATAAAACTAGATGCACGATGCCTAGTTTCCCAGAAAGTGTTGTTAAATTAGTGCAACAGATTAGCTTATTATGACATTGAATATTTTACAAAATATTGAACTCCAATTGTATAAAATGTTTACCTTTGTCATTCACTCGTTCAACTGTAGAATTTTGACTGAAAGGTTGCACAAAGGAACCAATTGCTGAGACTGAAACATAAAAAAAAGTGGATTCTAAAAATCTAAGAACCGAGCCTGTTTAGTAGCATTAAAGAAACTGAACCTAAATAATACCATGTCCAACCAATTTCTCCTTAACATTGTATATTTATTATATAATGCCGAAAAAATGTGTTCTGTAAGAAGATTAGAATCATAAAATCAAAGTATCTAACGACTTCGAATGTAATTGTGTCCAACGAGTTCAGGTCATCTCTGTTGAAGTTACGTTAAGTTAGATCTTTTCCTCAGTTCATTCCACATTTTCCGTCAAAAGTGAAACTAATCTCTGAGTAACCTCATATCATAAAGCCGGAAACATTAATAAGAAACAGAATAATGACTGAAATTTAGCTTTAAAATTCTATTTACCGTACAACTTACCAATCATCAAGTACCCAGAATTTCAGCAATGTAGCAACTAGAACACATTCTCAGCTTAACACCACTCATCCCATTAGGCCATAAGTCAAAGAAATAATGCCATGTGTATTTCATTAACCGTACCTGATAATTTATGCAGAGATTCTATTTGTGAATAAATTCAACCTGGTTTCCAGTTTGACCAATAGACTAGTTTATGGTCATTTACACTGTTGGAAAAATGCAAGGTGCCAGTTTATAACAAATTCACATTAACATTTATCAATAAAAGTCCAAGGAAGCTTTCCAAAGAAAATGTGATAATATCCTTTCAAGCTTATATGGACTTTGTATGATTTCATAGACGTTTTGAAATCATGAGGGGTCTTAACAGAGTATGATGAGAGAAACATTGCTCACTTGTGAATAGATACAGGGTCAGAGGGCTCAGTTTCATGGTGTTGTGCAAAGGAAGCAAATTTGAGATGAGAAGGAACTTTTCCACACACTGTGAGTAGTTAGTATCTGGAGTGGACTACCTCAAAGTGTGGCAGCAGCAAATTCAATTGAGGCATTAAAGGTGGCATTATTTACCTACATAAATTGAAACAATCTGCAGGGTTACAAGGAACAAATTGAGAATTACTATCGTACTTAAATGCTCAGAGAGCCAATGCAGATGTGATAAGCTGAATAGCTTCTTTCTGCACTGTGACAATTCTGGTATTGGCTAGGATTGAAATTTATCGACTATCAGTACTTGGTCTTGAGAAGATGCTAGTGGGCTGCTTTCCAGAACTATTGTCATTCATGCGGTGTGGGTATGGTGCTCAGAAGAAGGAATTACAAGGAATTTAACTCACAGCTACAGTCAAGCATAGTGGTATAGTTCCAATTCAGGGGGGTTTGTGACTTTGAAGGGAACTAGCAGATGGTGGTGGCCCAGTGGCCGTGTCCTTCCTGGTGGTAGAGGTCAGAGGTTTAGAAGTTAAATGTTGAAGGAACCTTCATCAATTGCTGCAGTTCATCCTGTAGATGTACACATTTCTTCCACTGTGCATTGGTGGTGGACGGAGTGAATAATGAAGGTGATGAATATTGAGCCAATCGAGTGGCCAACTTTGTTCTGGGTAGGATTGAGCTTCATGAATCTGCTGAGCCACATATGTCCCAGGCAAATGGATAACATTTCAATACTTTCCTGACTTGTATCTTGTAGGTAGAGTTTGGGGAGTCAGGCGATGTCAAAATGACTGAATTGTCAAGCCACTAACAGGTTTTTTTTGTATATAAATATGTGTTTTATGTTTCCATTATACTGTTTAGTCTTGGCTTAGGCTGGAACTTAAATGAACTAAGGCAGTTAGAAGGTGGTATAATGGACTTGTAATCCAAAGGCCAAGACTGACACATTCAATACACTGATTCAAATCCAAGCAGAGCAACAAGTGTTATTTGCATTCAATTATTTAAGTTCTTTTTAATTAAAGTTAATTAACTTCAGAAATGGTACCCATTAAAATATTAATGGAAGTAATCTCAGATTTATGACATTTCTGCTGGAATTCCTCAGGATATTATTCCCAGCTACCTTCATCAATGACTTCCCCTCCATCGTAATGTCAGAAGTGGGGACGTTGACTGGTGAATGCACAATATTCAGCAACACTCATGACTCCTCAGATGCTGAACAATCTATGGCCAAATGCAGAAAGACCTGGACAAGAATGACATGATAACATTTATACCACGAAAGTATCAATCAATGACCATCCCCAACAGGACAAAACCTAACAATCGCCCGTTGGCATGGCATTTCGATCTTTGAATTCAATACTTCTGAATCAGTAAGTCAGGGTTTAAATCCCGCCTGCTTCAGAGACATGTAACAGCAACTCTAAATAGTTCTTTTAGGGGGAAAAAAAATGTACAATTGTTTCTTTGCCTGCTATTTCTAAGGTTCTTGAGGTACAACTGTAGTGTCCCTGCATCTGAGTCAGATACGCCCAGGTTCCACTCTTACCTACTCCAGACGTGGGCCGTAACATCCCTGTATAGGATGATTAAATATATCTACACCTTCTTAGGTACAGAAATGAAAACTACACAGAATTTATAAGAACCCTTAGGGCTCTATTGGTGCAGTGATGGTATCCCTACCTCTGCGACTAGAAAGCCCATGTTTAAGTCTCCAACTGGTTGAGAAGTGTACCATAACATCTCTGAGCAGGCTGGTTATAATATATCTGTAAACAATATCCCAGGTTCTTCAGGTGTGATGGCAGTCTCCCGACCTCTGGACTAGAAGTTAAATACCACCGGACTCACAGCTGTATCAAAACACTTCTGAACAGGTTAGAATCATAGACTAATTAATCATAGGCTAATTAAAAATATCTATAAACACAGTTCTGACTAAAGAGTCAATTGAGACACTGCTTTCTGCCATTTAGCGACAGTCAGTTCTTTCTGATACGTAATGGCTGCTGTACTTTTTGAATTGTTGTAAACCTTTCTGTCACAGCCACCGATGTGCATGCCGAATAAAACTTCCACCATTGCAGCTGTTCGCAACTACAACTGCGCACCTGTGATCCCGCCGCGATCAGGGCTTTGAACAGCCCGGTATTCGAACAGGTGTCTCACTGAGGAACGAGGAATCTCTGAACTCAAACGGCTAGTTAAGAGACTTTAGGGAAAGGATTGTTTCTTTTTAATTCTGTTGTTGATGTTCAGACACAATTCAGATTTTCACGTCTGACAATTCTGACATTTTAGATCATGATGATTAATATTAATGGTTATATAACAGGGGCCTCGTAGGACAATAGCAACAATTGCATTCATGTAACAAAATGTCAAAAAGTTGCTTCACGGGAGCGTAATCAGACAAAATTTGACGCGAAATGAAGGAATTATTTCCTTACGGGACAAGCCTTAGTCAATGTGGTCGTTTATGGAAGCGTGCTCGAAAAATGAAGGAAAGTACTGTTTACAACGCAGTATGTAAGAACTTCTGAAATTCGATTATTCACGATGTCCTTCCTCAAAACAGCATGGTGTTTTTTTAAATGCTGCTGACTTTGAGAATGATTGAAATTGATTTTAGGCTTAGATCAAAGCGATTTTACAGCCTATTTTATATACTTTTGGGGAATATTGTTTTCCTCCGGAAGAGATGGATAATGTAGCGCAATTATGATATCGCCTGCTTCTTTCTCAATTTCAAAATTTGAAACTATTGAGTTTTCCTGTCTTGTTGCAAAACTGGGGTCCATGTGCCTCCCCTCAGAAAACGCGCCTGACTTTCCCTTCACTAACATTCGGACAAGTCGAAGATCTGCTCAAGACAATTACAACTGGACAGAATGAAACTGCCTCACAAGCAATAGTTATAATAGGACATGACAATCAGTTAATTCTCTCCGGTGACGAATGAATCCTGTTGGATCTGGCATTTTCCTGGCATTTTGTTTCACAGAAAATGAATAGGCCATTGACCCAGCCACTACTCACCTCACGGCACATAGGAACCAACCACAGAGTTCGTTAACATTAATCTGGCGCATATTCGGAAGGGTTTGTTCCTAATTCCTTGGACATGTACCTGAGAAGTTAAATTCTACAGTGCCTTCTTCCAGAACAATATAAATTTTGCTGAAATTGTGCCCGTGTGAACTCTTGCAAAAGGCGGACGATGTCATTTTTGTACATTTTCCCCCTTTTTCGGATATAACAGGAGGATTTGATAAACTGTTGAACAGTTACTCTGTCGCATAAATTGAAACTATAAATTATTCCCAACTGGAATGCTCAAATTGATTCGCATTCTTGGGATTTTCGGGTTGTTTAACACTTTGCTTTCTGCCCGTGCACAGCAAAGATTGAAAATAGTATACTGTCAATATGCCACTGCGTTCCAATTCATGAGATTCAGAAACTGCCCCGTTTGTGGCAAGCGACGCGGATTAATGAAATTATATTTCCAAATGTCGACAAGATCGAAACGAGAAACCCGCTGTAATCACTCAAAGGAAAGAACGTCACGGATGTTAATCGATGTTATCCTCGGTGACTTGAAATATTAACTCAGATCGAAATCATAAAACCACATTCACACTAATAGGGAATGACAGTCTTTTAAATTGGTGTTTTGATTAGGAATTCATTCGGTGTCTTAAGCAGCACCGGCTACTAATAAAATAATTTAGTTTAGGATTAATTTAGTCTCATAAATTGCATTTAAACATGTCATATTTTACAATCAATAAATATAATTATGTCTGTCAACCAGATCACGCAGCAGAATAGTCTTGCATTTAAATAAGACGAGTGTTGAGACAGAGATCCGCCTAATTCTATTGTAGCGGGCAGGATGCTCGAAGGAGAATTGGAGACAATAAGGACTGTAGATGCTGGAAGCCAGAGTCAGTAGGTGTGAGGCTGGAAAAGCACAGTTGATCAGACAGCATCAGAGGAGCAGGAAAGTCCTGAGGAAGGGTTTCGGCCCGAAATGTTGACTTTCTTGCTCCTCTGTTGCTGTCTGACCTGCTGTGTTTTTCCATCCTCATACCTATTGACTCAAGATTCTAGAAACTTGTGTTCCATAATCAATACACAGAACAGAAAATGAAAAACGACTTCTACTCAAGAAACATTTATCAGCAAATGGGAATTTACTTTCCCATACTTCAGATTCTTTCTGGTCTTTGCGGAATAGGAAATTGTGAACAGTCACCAATAACATTTGGGGGCTGTGTAAAATGATAGAAAGAATTATCAAAAAGGCGAATGATTAGAATGTAGTAAACTACTCCGACAAAAAGCAGATTTCAGGAAAACGCGACTGCGATCCACCTACCCAACGAAACGTGTAGAATCAGCAAAAACATCCCCAAGCGCTGCATTTCACTGCGAGGGTATTCTCGAGACAGGGAGGAGAACTGGATCAATGATCTGTGGAAAACTGCATCTCAGTTCAGTGAGAAGGTGCTGTGGCACTCATTCGGCAGCGGATCTATTTATTCAGCAGAAATCGCTATTAAGTGAAGGTCTGGCAACGTTTGTTTTCAACCGCAGAGAGAACTGGAATCGATGAACCAATAACAGATGTTATTACCAATTTAGGCAAAATTGCAGTTGAATTCGTGTGAGAGGTGGTGTTATGTGGCCGAGAAGTTGCCAACAGGGTTCTGATTTGAATTTAAACTTATCAACAGCGAGGTGGAGTTAAGAATGAAACAAAAACAGAAGTTGCTGGATAAGGTCAGCAGGTCTGGCAGCATCTGTGAAGAAAAAAAAGTCAGAGTTAACTTGTCGAGACCGATCCCGGATCGTTAACTCTGATTTTTTTTTCTTCACAGATGTCGATAACCTGCTGAACTTTTTGACCAACTTCCGTTTTTGTTCCCGATTTATAGCATCCACAGTTCTTTCGGTTTTTATTTTGTGGAGTTAATAATGTTTAAGTTCATGAACGCCTGGTTAACTGTTCCCGTCTTTATGCTCAGTTACATATCACACAAAAGGCAATATCCGGCAGATAAAGAATGTCTCGGGGCATTAGACCAGCAGCCTCCAATCAACGTCAAAACTTCCTGCCGAATGAGAGAGGAAGAGGATTATAACGGCAGGGATTCGTAATCTGTTTGAATCCATAACTCTGTAAGGTACCACAAGTAATGACATCTACTTTAGTAAGTGATAGATAGATATAGATAGATAGATTAGATAGATAGGTAGATAGATAGACACATAGAAAGGAAGTAAGGTCCGACCAGTCGAATTTCTGTGCATATCAGAATTTTTCGCATTCGAGAAAATAGCGCATTGGTTATTTCCACCCGGTATAATATGTTTCTAACATTTCTTTAATTCCACAGTCTATCTGTTTCCCACCCCGTTCTTCATTAGACTTTGCTTTACACTTCTACCTGCCTCTCTTATTGAGTTATTCTATTTCCGCTCGGCAATTTGTGTTTCCCTGTGCCTCTGTTTCCTTAGCCATGTGATTTATTTGCTAGTTGCACATGAAAGTATTCATCTTGTACAAGTTAAATTCCATGGAGGCATGGCCAGTCATTTTGATTCAGCAAAACGCAGAAGCATATATTATAAAAGAATGGCATTCAGATTGTTCCTTTCGATCTGATTTATGTGCGTTTGTGTGCGCGTGGAAATTGAAAAGTACAGTTAATTCCATTCTCATACACTTCCTCGTTCTCCTGCATTGATTTCCTTTCTGGATTTAACAGATCTCCCTTGAGTAATACCAGTGAATGTCTTTTAGGCAGGCAATTCGGTATCATAAATAAATCTCGAAAAAAAACATAGTTCCACATTTTGCATTTGATTCTTCGCAAATCGGCAACATTTTGTCTCCATGGCGTCTTCTGTGACTGGAAAGATTTTTTTTTTCTCCTTTGGTACTCGACTAACATCAGCAATGATGCCTTACACTCTTATCAATTTCGCTGCCCAAGAATATCACCGAGAGTCGCCACGTGACTGAAATCCGACGTCCTTGGTCCTCTAATAACGGATTTCATGTGTAAACTCACCATAGCCTCGGCATCCTTTTCAAACTTCGCCATCCATAATTGAACACAATTATGCAGCTGACGCCTAGCCAGTGTTCAAACTTCCTGGAGGATGCAGTCGGTGTTTCTTTTGTTGTCTCTCTGTTTATAATGCCAACGGATCTCAAATACCCCTTCTCATCTCCTCCTGTCGCAAAGGTTTATGCAGTACACCCTCAGGTCTTTCTATCTTTGAGGTCGCTTTGCATTTGCGCTATTTGATTCAAACTGTCCCTACGCACTCTTGCAACCACAATGTAGCATGTCACACTTACCTGTAAAAAAAAAAATTGCTGGTGTCTCTGCATTTTTCCTGACCTGTCCATGTCTGATGAAGCCTGTAGCTGTCTTCCTCAATGATTACTAGCCTTTCCTCAATTGTTCTGTTATTAGCAAATAATTCAATCAAAATAATCAACGATGATTTGCTTTTACTAAGTCCAAGCTGATAGTCGTTGCTTCGACCATAACAGTCAGAAAACCAAACGTGTCTTCAAGTTCATTTCTCTGAAGGTTTCCTCACAGCGAATGTTTGGCTGACTCGACTGCAATTGCTGGTTTTACCCTCCTCACATTTTGTGAACACATGCGGTCTTTCAGTGATATGACAGCAAGCCCACATTGACATGTTGTGACTCTTTCAACCTGTAACTTTCCAGGTAAACAAGGAAAACTAAATATCGCGGTTAATCGTAGGACCTGTTGCAGCACAGAAGCGGGCCATCCCACCCATTAAGTCCTTACTGGCTCTTCCCGAAGCAAAACGTAAAGTTGAAGTTCTCCTCTCGATCCTTTTAGCTGTAACGCTTTTTTTCCTTTCAAATCCCCACTGTCCAAATCATTCTTGATCCTTCCACCACCTTCATGATCAGTGAGGTCAAAATGGAAAACCATAAGACGTGGCAGAAGAAGTAGGCCATTTAGCCCATCCCGTCTGCTCCTCCATGCAGCGAGATTATGGCTGATCTGATAATCTATCTTCCTAGCTTTTCCCTATAACCTGCATTCCTTTACTGAATTTTTTTAAAGTATGTCTCAGACTTGAATGTTTTTAATGATCCAACCTCAGCAACCCTCTTCAGTATAGAATTCTACCGATTCACTATGCTCTGAGATCTGACAGTAGAAATTCCCTCTCATCTTTGTCTTAAATATGCAACACCATACTCTGAAACTACCACCTTCTGAACCTATACTCTCCCACATGTTTTCTGTTGAGCCTCCAAAGAAACTTGTACATTTCAGTAAGATCATGTCACATTTTTCTGAAGTCGAATTAGTACAGGCTCAAACTGATCAAACTTTACTCATTCGAAAATCCTTCCATTCCTACATTAAACACTGGCTGCATAAATCAGTCCATCCCCGCACTCCACGTGCATGTTTTGGACAAAATATTTGACTATGTCACCTTCCTCTTGTACAATTAGGTAGTCACAATTTGAATGACATTTATGTAATCTCCTGTCAATGCCCTTTTCTCCAAGTGTGGTAACGTGAGCCTTGCCAGCTCAAGCTGCTAAATTAAAACCCTTGTCTCGGGGAACAGTTTTTTAGATCTACATTACATCCACCTAAGGACCCTACATCTTCTGAAAAGCATGATGACTATTGGGCCTGATCAGTGTTTTAAAAAGTGCACCATAATAGATGCTGTTAGATCTGCTGAGTTTCTCTAGCATTTTCAATTTTTATTGCAGCATAATTGCTCTACCTTTATGTTCAGACCATCCAGTTATGAAGTCCTGGATAAAATAAGCATTTTAAACCAATTTCTCAATATCTTGTGCATTGGAGTCCCCAGGGCTTTCTGTCCCTGCACACAGTTCAACATTTTGCCATTAATTCTATGTCATCACCCCACCCCTACAAATTATAGAAACATAGAATATAAGAGCAGGAGTAGGTCGTTCATCCGTTCGAGTCTGCTCTGACATTCAGTATGATATGGCTGATCATCCAATTCAGTGTCAAATTTCCACTTTCTCTCCATATCCTTTGATCTCTTTAAGGTTTTGGAGTAGATCTGTAGCTCAGGTTGTGGGTGTTGAGGTTGGTTGGCTCACCGAGCTGGTTTGTTGTTTTGCAGACATTTCGTTACCATACTTGGTAACATCCTCAACGCAGCCTCCGATGAAGCGTCAGTGTGTTTTCCTGCCTGGGGTCCGTTGAGATGGATTGCCTCACTTCCGGGTTTCCTTCATAGTGGAATGTATATGGGGTCGAGTTCAATGTGTTTATTAATAGCATGTTTCGTGGAGTGCCATGCTTCCAGGAATTCTTGTGTTTGTCTCTGCCTAGCCTGTCCCAGGATCTTGGTGTTGTCCCAGTCGAAGTCATGGTTCTCCTTGTCCATGTGGATTGAGATGAGTGAGTATTGGTTGTGTCTTTGATCTCTCCATTCCTAAGAAATTTATCAACAACTTTCTTGAAAATCTTCAGTATTTTGGTCTGCACATTTTTCTGTAGAAGAGAATTCCACAGACTCACCACACATTGAGTGAAGAAATTCCTTCTATTCTGCCTTTGTACGCAAAAATTCAATACTTCACATTTACACCAATTAAACTCCATCTGCCACTACTCAGCCCATTGGTCCAATTGATCAAGATCCCTTTGTAATTTTGGATAACCTTCTTCACTGTCGACTATACCACCAATTTTGGTGTCATACACAAAATTAGTAATCAAACCTCTTAAATTCTCATCAAACGATTGTGTATAAATTACAAACAAAATGAGACCCAGCACCAATCCCTGTGGAACACCAGTGATCTCAGCGAACCCTTCTGATAACAACATTCCATGACCATCCTTTGTCTCCTTCCATCAAACACATTTCACATCCAGTTAACAAGCTCTCCATGAATTCTATCTGATCTAACTTTACGTTTTAGCTTAACATGCAGAACTTGGTCAAAGGCATTCCTAAAGTCCATATAGAAAACACCTCCCACTCTGATCCATCAATTCTTTTGGTTGTGTCCTCAAAAAAACTGAATCAAGTTTGTGAGATGTGATTTCCCATGCACAAAATCATGTTGACTGTCCTTAATCAGTCCTTGCCTGTCTAAATGTAAGTAAATCCTATCTTCAGAATCCCCTCCAACAACTTACCCAAAACTGATGTCAAACTCACAGGTCTGTAGTTCCCAGGCTTCTCCCTACAGCCTTTCTTAAATAAAGGCGCAGCTTCACCCACGCCCATCTGTTGCCAACATCCCCAAGTTCCCTAGTTTCCATTTCTTTCTCAACATTAAAAAAAAAACTGATGTGAAATATTCATTTAGAACCTCTCCCATCTCCTGTGGTTCCACACATGGATGGCCTCGGTGATCTTTAAGGGGCTCTATTCTCTCCCTTATCGCTCTTTTACTCTTAAGATACTGGAAGAATTTCTTTGGATCATCCTTAACTTTATCTGCCAATGCTATCTAATATTCCCTTTTTGCCCTCCTGATATCCCCATATACTCCTCGAGACATTCACCTGATCCCAACTGTTCAAAGGTGCATAAAATATAGGGCCAGAATTAGGCTATTCGGCCCATAAAAGTCTGTGCTGCTGTTCAATCATGGATGATATGCTCCTCAGTACCATTTTCCTGCCTTCTCCCATAATGCTTCAACCAATTACTAATTAAAAATCTGTCTAATTCCTCGTTAACTTTATTCACCATCCCAGCATCCACCACACTTAGGGGTAGCAAATTCCACAGATTCACACCCCTTTGGGAGAAATAGTTTTTCCTCAACTCTGTTGTAGATTTGGTACCCCTTATCCTAAGATTATGACCTCTCATCCTAGAATGCCCCACAAGAGGAGCCATCTCGTCCACATCTATTTTATCTGAAACTTCTATTGTCTTGAATACCATTATTTGATCTCCCCTCATTCTTCTAAATTTCGCAGAGAATCGGCCTAAACTGTTCAATCCCTTTTCATACACAAAGTCCTCAACATTGGGATTAATCTAATGAACGTTTTCTGAACTGCCTCAAATATCATCACATCTTTCCTCAAATAAGGGGACCAAAACTGTCCAAAATATTCCAGGTGCGGTCTCACCAATGCCTTGTATAGTTGCAAAAATGCTTACTACTCTATTCCTTTGGCTATAAATGCCAACATTTCATTTGATTTCTTTATCATTTGCTGTACCTGCAAGCTAGTTTTCTGTGACTCATCAACGAGGACACCCAGATCCCTCTGCACGAGAGCACTCTGAAGTCTTTCCTCAATTTGATAATCGGTCTCCTTCACAGTTTTCTGAGCAAAATTCATGACCTCACATTTATTCACGTTAAACTCCATCTGCCAAAGTTTGGTCCACTTTCTTCCCTATCAATATCTATTCGTAAAAGCTCTTATTTCCTCATTACAATTCGTCCTCCTGCCTATTTTGCATCATTAGCAAATTTGGTTATAGAGCCTTCAATCCCTAATTTTCTATACCTAATATATGACCCCTTCTTTTTTTTTAACCAGAAACTCAACATCTTTATTCATTCATTGTTCTCTACTATGAGCAGCCTTACCCTTTACTTGACCAGGAACAGAATATCTCTGTAATGTTATTAACTCAATTTGAAACCCTCCCACTTGCCAATCATCCCTTTACTTGCAAACAGTCTACTCCAATCAGCTTCTGAAAGCTCCTGTCTCACGCTATCAAAATTTGACTTACTCTGATTAAGAACTTCAACATTTATATGAGGCAAATTCTTCTTTTAATTCTGTGTCTTTTTAATCTCTATATCTTGAGATGAGTGAGCTTTGTTGTCATTTCTTGCCCCTCGTGACAACCTCTAAATGTTACATATGACAAAAAACGAAAGAATTGTGGATGCTGGAAACCTGAAACAAAAAATAGACATTGCTGAAAAATCACAGCACGATTGACAGCAGAGAGAAGTCAAAGTTATCATTTCCAGTCCAGTAACCCTTCTTCAAAACTGATGGTAGGAGGAAAAAGATGGTTTTTAAACCAAATATGTGGTGGGGGATTGGGGATG